TTCCAGACAATAGCTTCCTGGGATTGGGGAATGGACCAATCAACGGTCGTTGCACTAAATGTGCATCCCCAATCCATCAGCACTTATCCCATACACAATAACAAATGGCGCCAAGATTCTGCATTTTGTGTCCAAATCGGTATCATTTTGACAGAATCCTGATATGGTTGGGTCGCCAGGATCAACCATTGTTCTTGAGGAATTTCCACCTGCGGAGTTGTCCGACTTTTGGCTTCCCCTATAAATACTGGGCAGTTTTCGCTGCTCATTGCACTTGGATCTAGGGATGCCAAAGGGACAACTTCCGGTTGTGGGACTGACTCTACGGAAGCGTGATAGGGAGCGAGCCTTCTTGTGGACTTCACTGCGCTATATATAAACAACAAGTAGAAAGGAATTTGGACTTGGCTTTTTCTTCGGGAACACAACGCGAGCGGGGGCACAGTGGGGTTACACTTCTGGTGTAAGAGGTGGTGCAATCGGACGATGAGGCATTGGTCCGTTTTATCTTTTTTTCTATAGACAACTACTTTGATAGTATAGTCATCTATCTTTATTAGGAGCTTGTCAAGTAATGACATAACGCCACTGATTTCTTTCTCCGAGGTGAATTTGTAGAAATCGAAACGTCACACTCTAATCTACCAATAGTTGTGTTATAAGATTTTCTATACTGTTGACATTACCAACATTAAAAAAATATCCTTTAAGTGCATAATCATGTTAATCAATAAAGACCACACCCAAAAATAATGGTTACAATGCAATCGTGTTCAAAGTAAGTAACGATATCGTTTTCAATGGATGACCGATAATCAACTACTCCAACACAATGTTTAATGTCACGGTAAACTTGAGTGTTTTTAACGGGTAAATATTTCATCATTGTTAACACTGATACAACTGTTCAACCAATCTAGTTTGTTAAAATCACATTTAGTTCTTTGTGACATGCTCGATCGAAAGCTTTTGAAATATTTTTTTTTTCAATGTTTTATATACTTTCCAGAGAGTTTCTTTCATTTGAAGTGCAGTAGAAAACTAGGCCTAAAATGTCTAAATTGTCATTTGTACATCAATTATAGATTGACTAAGTACATGTACATGTAGAACTATTCATTAACAAATCCAATACATATGAGCGATTATAATCATAGATATTCTCAAGAAACGGATAAAACTGGCGATAATTAATGGACAATCTGGTAAAGAAACGTAGAAAGCCAAATAGCACTACATGAAAAATACAAATTATCTCGTTTTTACGAGTTACGTCATCTCGTTATAACGTGTTACTAAGTAAGTTACCTAGTTATTACGACTTGCATTATCTCTTAATTATAAAATAACAACGTGTTAAATTTCATAAGTTGTAACTAGAGTTGAGATGTTCTTGCTCGGGCAAAAGCCCGAGAGCGCGAGGGCACCGCCAGTGGGAGACTAGTCTCTCCTGTCTGGACTCCGCTCTTCCCTTCAGGAACCGGTACATACTCGCTTTAAAGGTGGTCGTATTTAAACTAAAATTGTTAATGAACTGATGAAGTACTAATACACATTAGCTAACAGGTAAATATGGATTGAATTATACATGAGTTATTGACATGGTCTTCCACACATTAATGACAATAGATTCTGACCATCATACAGACTGATTATAGAGAGGCTTCAGGTAATGACTTATACAATCAGGGAACGAAATAATACATGAACATGTGTAGTAGATCAGTAACGAGAAAATACCTCTGGCCACTGGTCAATACATAATTGTTCACAGTAGATGTCAGTAATAAATTAACAAAAGCAGATACATTATGATGAAACATCTGACTTATGTTTAGCACAATTTTGAATAATTTAATCTTACATATAAACTTTTAATTGTTCAATTACGAGTTTTATCTCGTTATTACGAGTAAAGTTATCTCGTGCTACGAGAAAGCTAGCTATTTATTTCACATTTCATAAACCATTTACGTTTTACCCGTAATGACTTGTGTTCCGAGCCTTAATGCTATTCATTTATTGCAAAATGGAGGAAATTGATCGCCATAAAAATTATATTTTGGCTTCAACAACAAGGAAGTCCTTGTACCGGCAGCTCATTCTGGTACTAACTAGCACGTTTGTATTAGTAATGATGTGTGTATCAAAAGTCCCCCCCCCCCCCCCCCCCTCTCTCTCTCTCTCTCTCTCTCTCTCTCTCTCTCTCTCTCTCTCTCTCTCTCTCTCTGTGTGTATGAGTATGCGTGTGAGTGTGAGTGTGTGTGAGACTCAAAGAAAAAGTCAGTTATTTCAAAATCAAAGATTTCACATGACAGCCAAATCTCCATATATCAAATTCGTGTTACTCCAAATCTCCATTTATTTTGTCGGTTCCAGCCAATCTTCACACCAAACACATTCCAAAGGTACGGATTCCGTTCTGAGTTTGTTAGCTCCATTACGGGCCTTCCACAGCTTACTAAACCCTTTGATATTTCCGTCTTGATAAAGCTTCGGCTGAATGAGATGTCGGATATCATGGTTACTGCTGTCACGGTCGATTGGTTTTTACTTAATTATATCGTCACAGTTGTATGTTTTAAAGATACATTTCTCAACTTCAATGTTCGCGTTGACAATTCGTTGCGAGTATAGCGAAAACTACGTGTACACAAACGAAACCTGTGATAGTATTTGATCACTAGTAATAACAATGTGACAACAGAAAGTAAAGATTGAAACACGAATCAATCCAGGGATGTCTATACACAACCTTTTCGGACAGATAAAAGGACAAACGTACAGACAAAGGGATTACATTGAATACCCTCTTTATTAAGTGAAAACAATGACAATAACATTAATTACGGACTGACGATTAACGACAACGAATATTTACTTTAAATTAAAAAACCGATAACAACTTACTGATATTGACGGGATGTGAGGCACTGGCATTGACGTCAATGAATCAAGACCGTCGACAATATTTGTTATTAATCAAAATTGAAGGCAACCTGTGTTATTGATCTAGTTTGGTTATTACAATAATAAATGAAAGAAATAAACATTCAGATTTATATCTATTATTATTTGTTATATCTATTTTAATCATTAACAATTGGACAAGGATATCGAACAGCTGTAATTTCCACGATTGTTATTCGTTGATTTCGAAAACAAGTAACGCTACTCTGATTCATAGCCGCATTGATGTATTTCTTCCGCCTTATATCCAATAGTTCGATACCTTTACCATTTTTGTGACCCGAGTCTTCATACGATCATGTCGCGTCCGACTGATTTTTTAATATCGACAAAAATTCGATTATAATAATACAGATCTATTTACTCCATGTGCTATTTTCCCAGCCTCTATTCACAAACATGAACAACACATTTACAAGATCATTATTCGGAGTTGGTTCAAGCCGTTAACATTCTTTAGGATATTGTCGTCATGTATTTATTACATGGGTCTAATAAGAGAGGAGGTATAACAGACTCCCACTTTCTCACCTCTGACGTTAGACTACATAACCAAGAAAATATGCTACCCGATGGAAAAAAAAGGAAAAATAAAATACTGTAGAGAGAATAAAGATGTCATATTACTAAGCAAGAAACACAAACATCACTTGCCTAATATCTGCCAATGGCTTTCGGACGAGTGCAACAAGGGCAATTCAAAAGTAACATATCTATCTCTAAAAGGCCTCAATCAGTAGATAAAAATCATCAATAACTACCTGTTGTAATTTTACAGCACCGTCCTTGGTTGTCGTCATGGTTACCAAGAATCAGTTGTTTGTAACTACACCAGATACTTCTTACAAATGTTATTGAAATGTAGTTGTTTATGCATGGCATGCTTAGTTTACACACTAAAATCTACGGTGGCTTATACATGACATTTCGTCTTTCCGCTTTGTTGCCTGCGAAAAGACGCTGGTTAAAAAAACGAACCAACGAAAAGAAGAAGTCCCGCCAAAGCGTAGAAACGAAAAGTAGAAAACCCACCAAAGTGAAATAAGGAAAAGACGCCAAACCGAGATAAAAATACTACACACACCAACGCGTTAAGTTAAATTGATGTCTAACGGCTTATAAAGGCGGTCGTTACTGACTTTTCATATTGATTTATTTACACCGACATTATTAAGGGGCGTTAGCGTGAATATGAAGATTTAATTTCAAATATTCGATAATATATGATTGAAAAACGATGGAAACCAATTTACGCTAAGTCTTGATAAGTTGTGTTTAAATTCTTTGCTGAATTCCTTGCCTTAGTTTTATATCCCTTTGTAACAAGTACAACCAGTTCACGGATTTTGTCCGAATTCTGACCAATAGAGTACTGATCGTTGAATCCAATCAACGTTGCTTTGGAAATGTGACGATATAAAGCATTAAAGTTGATTTGGAAGCATTTATGATACAGACATTACCATATTTCTTTGACATAGCATTTCAAAGTTAACAGTTTCTCAAAAAACTGTGTATGAAAATGGGAACTTGTAGTAAATGTTAGGTGAAAAAGATAATCTAGATTTGCAAACACAGTGATCTGGTTGATATATTTTTGTCCCTGAAGTTTGTCCTAACCCTGCGTGTCGTGGCCTGTTTTTACGATTGGTAGCACATGACACGAACAATTATCAAATCGATATGGTTCTTGGGTACTAAATTAACAATTAATTTCCTGGGGTTCCACGCTGTTTTTAAGAAAATAATAAATTCATGAAAAACTGATTAATTGAAAATTTACAGAATAAACTATGGTCCGTCTCATGATTTCCTTGCTCTAAACCTTTTTAACACGTCGATAATTTGAATCATCAAAAACGTAATTAGTTAGTGTAGATCCTCGTTGGCACTACTTCCGAACGATGATCATTTAATACATGCATCACCGCTGTGAAGACATATTGATATTTATTTGATAATCTTTTTTTCTGTGTCGCCTCCAGTTTTAACACTGCAACCATTCTGTTTTTTTTTATTGAAGGAGGAAATTATTGTGTAAGGTATGTCTGACAGATAAAAGGCGCCGCAAGTGAACATGACACGTCTCTCCAAACGCCGGAACTCTGCACCCCCAAGCAGTCGGCATCGTCGGAACTAGCCTGAGGTTGACCTTGGTACCACCAGGAGGTGAGATCAACTGGCTGACCGTTCGCTATCCAGGTCCACGTGCCCTCGGTATCCAAGTCGTTTCCGCCGACCCAAAACACTGGAAGAGAACACTAATTAAAGATAGTCTGCTTTATCTGTAAAATTATATGCATATAGAGTTGTCTAATCTTGACTGTGTTCTGTTTGCCTATAAATAAATAATAAATGTACTATTAATATAATCTACTATCCATTGGGGTTGAGGGGTTGAGATAATCTCTATCAGAGCGGGTGGGATCCAAGATAAAGCAATGACAGAATTCTGCATGGGTGAACTATTGACATTACTATAGTGTCATCACAATGAAATGACAACGCTTCATAATAAATCAAATTATGTCAAAACATAGGAATAATAATATACACAACCAACAGAAGATCTGAATGTGACGAAAAATGACTAGTGTGTAGCATATTAACACTGACGTATGTAGTGTGCGAGATGGTAAGGAGTCAACCAACTTTTTCGGATGTGCTATAAATATGTTTACACTTACAGTGTGACGAGATGGTAAACAGAATAAATAAAAAGTACACAAGATGGTAATAATGTACCGTGGTCGATTCGGCTACACTTTGTTTAACTTGGTCATAGATGTGCAAGGGTATGACGCTAAACTGTTCCGTGACATCCTTCTGGTAAAGAAAAATGACGGCACGATACTGGTAGATAGGAAACAGACGGACCTATACCTCAACCTTCGATCGCATCACCCCTAAAAATAATTGCCACGGAAGAACAAGACAAGAAGCAAGAACAAAATGACATTTATAGCACCATGAAAGCATGTGGACACCCTTATTGGGCAATTCAGAAAGCTATTAATTGTTGGTGAAAGCAAAGACAGGCCAAGAGACGAAAATGGAAAATAACACATTAATAGGACATGTAGTCATTTCTTACATCAAAGGTCTGTAAAAAAGCATTCGGAGGATTCACCATGGCTGTGGTATTGTGAGAGTCATGAAGCCTCACAAGACTCTCCGAAATGTCCTCGTCCATCCTAAGGATAAAACACCCAAAAGGGATATCGCAAAATACGTATGCAAAATCGGTGCATTATATCGGGCAGACGATTCGAGGTCCGACCTAATGAACATCAAAAAGACATGGAATTCCAAGAAGACAAAATATGACCAGATCAAAGAGAAAGCATTCTCAGTCCCAAGTTAATAAATCGGCTCTTACAGATAATTCCATCCAGTTAAATAATAGCATTGACTGGGAAACTTCCAAAATACACGACAAGGACAAAAGCAACCTTTACAGACGGTTGGTCAAGGTGGCATCGGGCCAGAACTAATCAGGCGCGATGAGGAGGGGAACACTCTCGCACCAAAGTGTAGCCGAATGGACCACAGTAAATTGTTACCATCTTGTATACCTTTTTCTGTAATCTGTTTTCCATCTCGTCATATTGTTGTCAGTCTAAGTGTATATATAGCGGCATAGTTGGTGAAAGTAACGTACATCAGTGTTAGTACGCCTCACGTTATTCCGACCCTGTAGCCATCGAAACTCCAATCATTATGTTATAAGGATTCTTCTTGCATTACCGAACTGAAGAAAATGCTCCAAAATGTCTGCCAAATCAGTTCTTGCTTGGTCATGAGGATCTTAGCGCCAGAGACTGACTCTAACTCATGAACAGAAGAATGAAGTAGATTTCAATAGTAATGATTTAATCTGTTTTTAGATATTTAACAACTTTTTCCTTTAAATACTATTAATAAGTTCATCACGACAAATAAATGCATGAATGGATTGTTCGTTTTTTTTTTTTTTTTTTGCAAACATCACACAAACACGCACAATCATACACACACATACCACCACCACCAGAGAGAGAAAGCGAATCTTGCTCGTGCTAATATGACATGTTTTACCTCGTTTCTAAATAATCTATACAGCAATAGAGGTATCAGTGATGTAATGATACTGTAATCGACATATCGATCCCCTCCCAACAACAAAAACCGAAGGTGATATACCCATTTTATATTTGTTTAAATCTTCCACTTGTAATGACACAACTCCCTTGGGTACTTGGGTACAATCATATTTGATGTTGCTCTCTCAATGCCATTTTAAATCCAAAGCTTGTTCGATTATTTTGACAGTGATTTACAATTAATTATGGTGTTCCAGTGATAACTTTACCGTTCGGTCATAAGCAAATATTATGGGCCAATCTTTCATAATTGAAAATTATCCTTAATCAACAAGCAATTGTTTAAAAAAATCTGTCACAAAACACTTGGATTGAGTCTCACAAAATTGACATCCAGTAAAACATGCATTGCGTTGCGGACAATTACAGCGTGCCATCTATGCAAAATCCAATCAATTATTTTGTAAAAGTCATGACTTAAGTGAGCGATATTTTTGGTGTACTAATTTTCTGTCCTGATGTACTGATGATGTTCGTATCCGAGTAACCCAAATGGAATTGTAAGCTTTCCTTATCTCCTGATAATCTAAGTACCCTGTAATGTGACCTGATCTGATGTTAAAAGTATTTTGTAATCTAGCATTAACTATACTTACCTCTTGATGGTTTAAGAACCTTGTACCCTTGTGTAATTTCTTCTGACATCCTGGTTTTTATTTTCTCTGTAACCTGGTGTAATCTGTTCTGATATCCTTTTTTATATTTACCCTGTAACCTGGTGTAATCTGTTCTGATATCCTGATTTATATTTACCCTGTAACCTAGTGTTATCTGTTCTGTTTATATTTACCCTGTAACCTAGTGTTATCTGTTCTGATATCCTGGTTTTTATTTACCCTGTAACCTGGTGTAATCTGTTCTGATATCCTGGTTTTATATTTACCCTGTAACCTGGTGTAATCTGTTCTGATGTCCTGGTTTATATTTACCCTGTAACCTAGTGTTATCTGTTCTGATGTCCTGATTTATATTTACCCTGTAACCTAGTGTAATCTGTTCTGATATCCTGGTTTATATTTACCCTGTAACCTAGTGTAATCTGTTCTGATATCCTGGTTTATATTTACCATGTAACCTAGTGTAATCTGTTCTGATATCCTGGTTTATATTTACCCTGTAACCTGGTGTAATCTGTTCTGATATCCTGGTTTTTATTTACTCTGTAACCTGGTGTAATCTGTTCTGATATCCTGGTTTTATATTTACCCTGTAACCTAGTGTAATCTGTTCTGATGTCCTGATTTATATTTACCCTGTAACCTAGTGTAATCTGTTCTGATGTCCTGATTTATATTTACCCTGTAACCTGGTGTAATCTGTTCTGATGTCCTGATTTATATTTACCCTGTAACCTGGTGTAATCTGTTCTGATATCCTGGTTTATATTTACCCTGTAACCTAGTGTAATCTGTTCTGATGTCCTGATTTATATTTACCATGTAACCTGGTGTAATCTGTTCTGATATCCTGGTTTTATATTTACCCTGTAACCTGGTGTAATCTGTTCTGATATCCTGGTTTATATTTACCCTGTAACCTAGTGTAATCTGTTCTGATGTTCTGATTTATATTTACCCTGTAACCTGGTGTAATCTGTTCTGATATCCTGGTTTTATATTTCCCCTGTAACCTGGTGTAATCTGTTCTGATATCCTGGTTTATATTTACCCTGTAACCTAGTGTAATCTGTTCTGATGTTCTGATTTATATTTACCCTGTAACCTGGTGTAATCTGTTCTGATATCCTGGTTTATATTTACCCTGTAACCTAGTGTAATCTGTTCTGATGTCCTGATTTATATTTACCCTGTAACCTAGTGTAATCTGTTCTGATATCCTGGTTTATATTTACCCTGTAACCTGGTGTAATCTGTTCTGATGTCCTGATTTATATTTACCCTGTAACCTAGTGTAATCTGTTCTGATATCCTGGTTTATATTTACCCTGTAACCTGGTGTAATCTGTTCTGATATCCTGGTGTAATCTGTTCTGATATCCTGGTTTTATATTTACCATGTAACCTGGTGTAATCTGTTCTGATATCCTGATTTATATTTACCCTGTAACCTGGTGTAATCTGTTCTGATATCCTGGTTTTTATTTACTCTGTCACCTAGTTTAATATGTTCTGATATCCTTATGTCTAAGTACTCTGTACTCCAGTGTAATCTGTTCTGCTGTTCTGGTGTTTCAGTACTCTGTATTCCGGTGTAATCTGCCTTCATATCATGGTGTTTAAGTACTCTATACGCTTTAGTAATCAGTCCTTTAATTCAGATGTAAACGGTATCCTGGCGCAGTCTTGCATGAAATCCTTGTGTTCAATTCCACTATAACTAGTGTAATTCGTTCTACTTTCTGATGTCAAATTTTCCTGTACCAAAGTATGATCTGTCCATACCGCTTGATGTTTCAGTACCCTGTACCCTAGTATGATCTGTCCATACAACCTGATGTTTCAGCACCCTGTACCCTAGTATTATCTGTCCATACTACTTGATGTTTCAGTACCCTGTACCCTAGTATGATCTGTCCATACAACTTAATGTTTCAGTATCCTGTACCCTAGTATAATCTGTCCATACTACTTGATGTTTCAGTACCCTGTACCCTAGTATTATCTGTCCATACCGCTTGATGTTTCAGTACCCTGTACCCTAGTATGATCTGTCCATACTACTTGATGTTTCAGTACCCTGTACCCTAGTATTATCTGTCCATACCGCTTGATGTTTCAGTACCCTGTACCCTAGTATTATCTGTCCATACCGCTTGATGTTTCAGTACCCAGTACCAAAGTATGATCTGTCCATACCGCTTGATGTTTCAGTACCCTGTACCCTAGTATTATCTGTCCATACTACTTGATGTTTCAGTATCCTGTACCCTAGTATAATCTGTCCATACCGCTTGATGTTTCAGTACCCTGTACCCTAGTATTATCTGTCCATACCGCTTGATGTTTCAGTACCCAGTACCAAAGTATGATCTGTCCATACAACTTGATGTTTCAGTACTCTGTACCCTAGTATTATCTGTCCATACTACTTGATGTTTCAGTACCCTGTACCCTAGTATTATCTGTCCTTACTACTTGATGTTTCAGTACTCTGTACCCTAGTATGATCTGTCCATACAACTTGATGTTTCAGTACCCTGTACCCTAGTATTATCTGTCCATACTACTTGATCTTTCAGTACTTTGTACCCTAGTATTATCTGTCCATACTACTTGATGTTTCAGTACCCTGTACCCTAGTATGATCTGTCCATACTACTTGATGTTTCAGTACCCTGTACCCTAGTATTATCTGTCCTTACTACTTGATGTTTCAGTACCATGTACCCTAGTATGATCTGTCCATACAACCTGATGTTTCAGTACCCTGTACCCTAGTATTATCTGTCCATACTACTTGATGTTTCAGTACCCTGTACCCTAGTATTATCTGTCCATACTACTTGATGTTTCAGTACCCTGTACCCTAGTATGATCTGTCCATACTACTTGATGTTTCAGTATCCTGTACCCTAGTATAATCTGTCCATACTACTTGATGTTTCAGTACTCTGTGCCCTAGTATGACCTGTACGCACCACTTGATGTTTCAATGAGCTGTACCCAAGTATTAGTGTATTCTGTCCTAACAACTTGATATTTTATTATTTCATCCTGGTAAAACTTTAGTAAAATCCTGATGTTTAAGTTCTCTGTACCCTGTTTCAAATATTGAATATTGTATTACGTACTTTGTACCCTAATTCTATCTGTTCTTACCTCCTGATATTTAAGTATATCATTTATATATACGTACCTCCAGCTGATGTTACCCTCAGTATAAAATAGTTCATAGTGTTTGAGTCAATCGTTGCCAAACTTCCATCCAGCTCCTGACATTTATCCTACAAAAGAGCAGTTGAATATTAAACCAGTGCCAAGCTGTTGTCTTTTTCAAAACGTAGCTGCAATGTATTTTGTATATAAATTCTTATGTTTGAATTTTGATTACAAGACATGCTTAGGGCATTGGTACCATCCGTCAGCTAAAGATCGTTTTCATATAAATATCTGTTGTGTTCCGTGTGTATTATTTATCATATAGACTGAAATTATATCAAACATACATGCACATAAATGCTTTTAATTTGTAACATTCATAATTTTAAACAGGCTTGATCATGGTAAGAAATTTTGTTAGATGTATCTATTAAGTTAAAATCCACAGGACAATGGGCCTCAAATATCATCTGGCCATAACATATTGATTATAGAATGACAGCAGTCATGGCAGTGCGAACACTTTTTTCAAGGTAACAATCACTGCATATTGGTTTTTGGACCGATCCAAAGCTAAAATAAGAACACTTGATCCGCACCACCTAAGGATAATTTTAGGCAAATTTAAGCTGAATCTCAATAATGGAACTTAAGAAAATGTGATACAGGAAACTATGATTACACAGTCATATTACAAAATTTGATTTCCTTAACATCCCAAAACCTCAGTTCCACCAGTGAATATTGAGAAGTCTAAAACGGACAGACCTGAAAACAACAGATCTTCACGGGGTTATTTCATGCCTGTTTGATCTTATTATATTAATGGAGCCTAAGGGAAAAGTATTAACTAAACTTTTAGCGATATATCGAATAAAGGGTATGGTCTCTATGGTATTTGTAGACTGGGTATATAAACCTGAACACAGAAGATAAACCAGACTCTGATTGAAACTGAAATATATCATTTATTAAATTGCCAAATGACGACAGCTAATATTAAAATGTTTTGTTAATAATCCGTACAGTCATCAGCTGTACGAACCGTTATCCAATTAGATATATTTTAACAGTATACTCAGGACTACAAATATGGGGAACAAACTACACCACCATATAGCTTGACAATTCCAATAATATTAGAAATGTTTGCCTATATCCCCCATCCATATCCATTTTACTTACATGATAACTGACAAAATCGATCAATAACTTGAAATTGATAATAACATCCCTGATGCAGTTCGTAACATAAAGGACACTAAACTTACTTGTGAAATCAGATTCATGTTATAAACTCTCAAGTGAAATGTGACTAGAAACTACCTCATACATGATGCCAAAGTCAATCAAAGACAAAACATGTTATGATGACTACATGACCAGAAACCACTAACCCCATGGTCATACGTACCCAAACTCAAACTATAGTATACATGTACCTGATATTTAGTGACAAATAATTGCAATAAAAAATCATGAGGAAACTGACTGAATGTTCAGAAGGTACAACACCATGGTCATACAGACCTAAAATCTCATTAGTATTACATGTTATACTAAGTACGACAGATGGCAAAACATGACCAGAAGCCACCCACTACATGAAGGAAAAAGAACTAAAATGAAAAAAAAATCATAAAAAATGAGCTTAATGACCAGAAGCTACTAGCCCAATGTCCACACAATAAGTCTAATCATAACTCAGTACATATGATGCATTCATACATGGAACAGGTTGTTTCGAACCATTTACGTTTGCATACATAAATGTGTCTACAGTGCATGGCGAAATGTGGACGACGGATGAGGAGGGACGAAATCTGATGACTGTAAGTCACATGACTTGAAAACTGTGACGAACTTCATTAGTTAATTTTAGTTTATTTTTAGGACATGACTGTTTCAAGTCCCCTAGACCAGATTTTAACAAAATAATATTCGAGTTCCTGTTTGCCCCAATGTTTGAAGGTGTTATGAAATAAAACCTCTTCCTTGCTTACAGATTGTGAAAAAAATATCTCTCTCTCCCTCGCCCCCCCTACCCCCGCCGCCCCCCCCCCCCCCGCCGCCCCCCCCCCCCCCCTCTCTCTCTCTCATCATTCTATTGACCCTATTTTGCCCCGGAGGTTTCTGTTAATTCTGTCAGAAATGTCCGGCAAATGCCCATCAACACTCGCACAGCTTCCGTCACTAAGATGTCAGGTGGAAGATCTCCTGGGGTTTTTTTTCCGAATGCAATTCGATATATTCTATCGGGTCTTTTTATACAAATATATATATCCATGCAATAACATACGTTCATTTTGTATTTTTACAATTTCACACACTATTTATGCGTATAAACACATTCGAACAATCCATCCTCACTTTATCAATTTGGTTGTGATAATTAATAAATGTTTTAGTGTCTGATGTTAATTTACTTAATTACCAATAGGTATTACTAGAGGTGGTTTGAGCAGTTGTGCCAATCTCCACCAACAGAAACTTCCTCCGGTTATATCTATTGATGATACAATCCAACTATAATCCATAACGTAAATTCATACAATAACATCCATTCTGTATTTTTACACCTTCACACACTATTAATGCGTATAAACGCCATCTCATCACTTTATGTTTCCTTATTCTGTTAATTGATTAATGACATTTTGTGCTACATATAGTGGAAATGTTTTCTTTTGCTTTGAGTTACTATATAAGTATAGATTATCTATTAATGAATTGTAATATTAACAGCGGCGCAAACATGGAGTTTTTCCTTTAGATTTTAATTTCTAGCTCGCCTCTCAAAGAGAAGTAGAGCTTATGTTGCCATGCAGGCGTCGATGTCGAGTGTTTAAAGACATCAAGTAAACTCCTTTATAAGTATACTGATATTTGGGTTTAGGGTTACTGTAGGGGTAAACTGTTACTATCCGGAGTCTGAATGGATTTTCTTTTGCTATCACATTTTGGGACTTAGACTTCTTATTTCAAATCTGATTGGTGCCAATATTGAATAGACATTATTTCCTGTTCTAATACCAGTATAATGGGATATATATTCCAGCCGGCCGCATCAACCCCTAATGTTAGTTTGAGGTTTAGTAAACAATTAGAGACCAGCGTTTTAACCGTTGGTTGTTTTTCTGAGTGATTTTCATGACTTTTCTTTTAAGGTTGTACGTGACATCTGGGCTGTCTTGGTCCCATGATATTTTCCTTCTTACTTTCATAAAGTTTGCTTTTAATCTGACAATATATTTGTAATGTAAAAAAAAGTTTCTGGTTGGCCAAAGCTCAAGTCGTTGTATCAATATTGGAACGTTATATTGATAGCATTTATATGGAAAATAATCTGAATAATTGTATCGTAAACTTTACTATTATAATATATGTAACTTCTATTTTTTTGTTATTTTTTTTTTATTATGGTGCTATAATTTTAGTAGATGTGATGAAAAAAGTATTTGAAATAGACATGTGTGATGTGAAAAGATGTTAAGACAGCACTTATAGTATAAAAAGGCGAGTAGTGGATCAGCCATGAACTTACCCGCCCTTCGAACCAAGTCGATGTACTTCCTTCGAAGAAGCATCTGCCTTGGGTATATATTCCTTCACATGTCACTGAAAAAGAAATAAATTGACTCATTATCTATTTGGTGCCGCGCACTCTGAATTTAAAATTCCGGTGGCATGATTCTATCTATCGTCTTCCTCGTCCAATTTTTTAGTGGAGAAACACATCAGATTTGGCTGATACCATTTTACCGGTACTAAAGGAGTAATATTTTAGAAAAAATGCCCTTATCTCACGTATAGGGTACCTTTATAGGTGGAAGCAGTCAAATTCCTAGAGCAATTAATTTGGATTCCATTGCCAAAACACATAGTAATGAATATATACCGTTAAATCCCTTTTATAAAAGTGTAATGTTAAGATTTTCGGTTTATATTTTCTATTTTGCCTTAACAATCAACATAACTGATGTTTACACAACGGTAACTATGTAACATGATGCAGTAAACATGGTGTTAAAGCATTTTAGTGGGGACACTATGAAAGCTGACACCTAAATTCAATTGGGTACCGAGATGTTTTACTTCTTAATGATTCAGAGGCACAATTTAAATACCTAATTTATTTCATAGATTGTCCCTTTCAATTTCTCTCTGTCCGTCACAGCCCTCCTCTCCCCTGAACAGAAGAGGATACAATGACCCGAATAAGAATTATATACAACTAGCGTGTAAGTATAAGGCTGACAAGCGAACGCTACAGTGCTTCAGAGGCAAATTGCTTTTACGCCCATTCGGTCACATAAAATATTCAACTTAATGATAATACGAAATTGACGTTAACAATATTGATACATATAATTACATATAAGATAAATGGGATTATTTATACATAACGAAATAGAAAGTAAACAGGGGAAACTCGGGCAAAACACAGATTGCTAAACACAAAAAACCAATGCCATTGCTGTTTATACCATCGTATAATAAATAAGACCTACTGTTCCTGCATTATTGATTATTTCATTTCGTTATGTGGCTTACAAGGTCGACTCTAACACGCTCCGCTAAGATTTTTATTTTTATTCCCAGATGTATCGGCTTTAATATTCATACTGCTATTATTAGTTATTAATTTGAGTCTGTCGGTCTATAATTATATAAAAGAGTTTAATTGGTGTCTCCGACAACTTTTTAACTAATGTGAAAAAATCATTATTATATTGCTCAATAATGACATTGACAATTGTTATGTTTTTTTTCTGCTAAATAAAGTTTGCGTGTCACTAAATGTCAATAGCATCTTTGAAATATAAGGATAATGGATATATAGTCATGTATTACGCTCCAGTGCAAATGGTATAATTGTTTTAACATCGATTAATTTTCCACAACACTTGCGTGAAAGTACTGAAACATGATAGGTTAAAACACAAATGAGAACGTAACTTACTACTCCACATATTTTTTGTATATCTATATAAATAAGAGCATAATATACATATATATATATATATATATATATATATATATAAATATCAGAAAAATACATTTAAATATCGTGCAAATACAACGATGAACAAAATACATATAACAATATCAGACAAATATAATTAACGAACTATGGTTACGATCAATATTATGTTGCATCGACCAATGGCAAAACCAGTGGTCAATATTTTCCACCATGATTTAATATCACGACACAATTACATTCGTACTTATTAACCACTAAGTTGATTATTGTCTGGTGTGAATATATTACGTAAATATCTTATGAACAAATGATAATGTCAATATGGTGTATTCTTAACAGAGGAAAAAATATATAAAATTAAAAACATTTTGACAAATTAAATCCCTTAACTAGAAAATTATTATTATCATATCACAGGGTCTCTGATAGTTAATATATATTAAATTTAGATACAATGAATCCTTACTGCCCAGTTGCCTGAACAATAGAAGCTTGGAATGTCATATGGTATAGACTAAAACAAAAATAAAGATAGATAACACTACTTTCTAGTGCGATTAATCAATAAGTTTCTATCTGTATCCTTATCAGTTATGTTCGAATCAGGTAATTGATAAGTTAGGATAAAACTGATGTCATGGTTGATCATATAGCTATATGTTCATTGGTTTTATTCCGGGATGGGTCAGTTTCCAATGTGACACCATTGGTTACGGATATGACCAACGTTTAAGAGCGTTGGGGGCGGATAATTCGAGGAGAGATGTTGTTCCATTCGTCGTTCAAGGCATAGGCCAGTTCCTGCAAGTTTGACGCTTGATTTAGACGATTTCTGAAGCGTTGCTCAAAAGATTCCACTCATGCTCAATTTGTGGCAAATTAGGTATACTAGATGGTCAATCAAACATTTGTACGTTATCCTACTGAAAATTATTTGTCTTAAAATATCCTGATACCATTAACTACAACATTTCTTGTAAGATATCTCTAATTTCATTGGAATAGTGACACGGTTCAGAACATACAAATGTTCTTGACGTTCTTCCAACGTTTTCAGACTTTGACCGTTCTTTCAATCACTTTGTATTTATCTCGGTCGCTTATTGGGTATGAGAATTAGGCATTAACATCACTGAGAAGTCCCAGGACGAAATAGCAGTATAATGCAATTTGGTTCAATATTTGGCTCCTTATTAAAAAGCGCTATTCACTTTTGTGTGTTTTGAAAATCTTCTACAGATATCGAACCGAACCTTTACAATTCCGACTTCAAATTCAAATTTGCAAAACGTTCCTCTAGTTGTCTCCACACTTTGCACCTTCCGTCATCGTGTTGCAAATAACATCGGACCTCTTTGGAAAACACAGCCTATTTTCATTGTTTGCAGAGCTCGACTCGATTCACTGCGGTTATTACGGCGGATAGTTTAGGTAACGAATCAATTGCATTAGTGTATTAATCGATACAGACTGTCCAGACTGTATCATACCTACATTCGTTTCCCTTAGTATTTTGTATCAGCTGGGCAATATCAGTATTGATAAATGTTTTGGTGAAAATAAAGACATGAGAATATAAGGAACATATTTCACTTTAATTTGTTCGGTCATTCAGGCTAAGATACAGGTTACACAGGAAATATCATGGAGCTCTTAATGAAGATTTCCAAGCTTGATTGATTTTGGTAGTCCATTGGATTTTGTAGTGTAAACTATCGTCATTTTCTAATATTTTTTTCTTATCACTCATTTACTGGTTTTCGCTAACTTTTCTTTTGAGTATATATCCAATGAGAACAAGGGAAATATATTGACAGAAAGTACACATCAGACGAAACTATGTATGTGTTTCAGACATACACATATGTCAGACAAAAATATTCATAACATGATTTTCGAGTTATTCAGTGAAGATACCCGAGTGCGATAATTGCAGATCAAGTAATAACAAGTTATTAAAGTTATTTACTCGTAGAAAAATTCCACAAACGTATTTAATCAAGCATTACCGTATATGTGTACCAGCCAAATACATAACTGTTTATCACACATGCATATCTGTCATATGTTTTATAAACTGCCGTTCTGCCACATAACAACTTAATTCAGTAACCGAGATTGTGGTGTTGACTAAGGAATTGATTAGTTTTAAGGTACAGCCATTGATTGGTAAATACTATTGTTGGGTAAAATAGTTAATGACCGAATATACTTGTGATAAAGCTATCACTTAATGTTCGGTTCTCCTGTCGACTGAAAGTAAAATTAATAATGTACTAGTCACATGTTTTACATCATTGAATAAGTAAGCTGACTCCTCTGTAGTTCTCTGAGAAGTAAAACTAAATCGAGTATTAGCCGTTAGCTCTTAGTTTATGTTAGTTTGTTTTTAATTTTTGAAAGTAATTTAAAAGCTATGTAAAATATATACTGGTTATTTTTCGTATACGGGCGTCAGAATATGTGTAAAATGAATCAATTTATTTTCACGTATTATTCTCATATTTTTCTGAAAGACTGACTTTCGTTGATTTTTTCAGTTTTTCCATCGAAAGGTAATAATATGATATTGAATATTGGTTATCAAAAAAATAACGTGGACAAATTTAAAACTGCATAGCAACCAAAACCCTCAAATGATTTGAATACTTTATTTGACTGTTTTCTTGTTTGCATGTTTATTATTACAGGGATAGGGGGTCGCATTATGTTGCAATTTTCACCCAAATATCCTGATTTTCCATCGAATGATGTTGATATAATACACAAAAAACATCATACTTACATGCATTAATACAAAGACCAGATCCGTCTGTCATTGAAACACATCTTTCGTTCACTGAACATTTCTTAGTAGCACATGGTCCAAGGCGTGTCTACAATAAATTCTTTCCGTTATTTCAGCTATAACTGCATATATGAATTTTATTATAACACCAATCACATAATTCCAATATTCTATGAATAATGTGAACCGGAAAAATTGGCATGTCCTGAATTCAGATATACAAGATGATTGCAACATATAATTCTAACTAACGGGTATGATGGTCGTTGATACACAATTTGTTCAGTGCTATTTTGTCTTCCTATCTGATTTTCAATTCAGCATTCCTCATTTGTTGTAATATCTATCCATATAAACTATCTATATATTGGGAAATGTAAATTAGACATTTCAAAAAGCAAGTCTAAAAAAATGACATATCATCATAACACTTTGTCGCGTTTCTATCAACATCGACTCAGAAACGATAAATATAACGAATTCGATAAGTTGTTATATAACTTGGGTTCGTTACCACTTTTTCACAATCACTCTAACTCAACCGACTATGTTGCACTATTTACACATTTTGTTCTTGATAATTTTAATGTTATGGTAAATTTATTCATATTTCAAAACATGTGAAGTATAATGGTATACTCCTCTTGAATATTGATTAGAATTGTAACATAAAACAAGTTTTTAACGTATTTAAATATTGAATCGTTCTACATGACATTATGTCGTAGTTCTACACTAAAATTTGGTAACACTCGGCATGAAATCACTTGTAGATTTGTAGACTTGTAGTACTAAAAATGTGAAATATCATATTGAATACATCCATAGCAAAGGCAAACATATTAAAGTTACTCAAGGCAATGGTAGCAATTGGGATATATCTGGAAAGGGCGGAGGATATTACAGTACCGAGAAACTATAGCGAAATGACATGCTGGTTTCTACACTATATTTCCGAATCATTTTATTGACTTGACTGTCATTGATTAATGGTGTAAGTATACTTTCCCATCGAAATTCAAACATGACTTATAGTCTGAATTTCAAATTGTTTCGACCACTTTTTGAAATAGAATACTTGCTGCATGAAACAGCAATTTAGTTTTTTTTTTCTTTAAATATGCTATATCTATTTCTATTCTTGTATAGGTAGTTGATACCCCTCTTTTATATTAGAAATATCAAGACTTTGTCATCTTGAATTTAACTTATGAAGGATGAGTCAAAATCCATAGACATGTGAAACTACGAACGCAATTGTTCAAAACATATTAAAGACCAAAGTGGAAGTCATTGTTGCTATCAGAGGAAACGTCTACTATGCGTATAGGAGTTTCTGTATTAAAAATGACTACACGAGAATTAAGTCACAATTCATTCTCGAGGAAGAAAGCATAAAATCAGAAGAGGTTAAATGTGACCTCACGAACCTAGGTCAAAAATGACGATTTCCAAAAAAGGTAGTTTTAAAAAACCGAAATAATTTTGAACATAAATATTCGGCTAGTTACGACTGGTTAATTTAAATAACATTTTTATATTCAGGTTTGGAAGGCATGCTTTATCTCCCAGTTTTCTCATCATTACTGTTCAGAATGGACCAGACAAGTTCTAGAGAAAGCTGTTTAATCCAACTAAACACATGAAGTCAAAGCCACAACTATGCCACAATTTAGTCATGAAGATATATGAATTTGTATTATGTATTGATGCGTTTTTTTCTGTAGTGATTAGACTTAAGATATTTTTATACTTTAAAAAACTTGTTTATGATAAATGAAAAAAACAGAAACGTAATTTTATTAATTACTTACCGATAAATCTACCGGAAAGGAAGTTGCTGTTGATTTTCTCACAAGACCACAGTTTAACTGATCCCTGTCAAAGGTTACTTCAGCACAGTCTGCAGAACGTTTACACTCCTTTATACATTGAATATATCCACACGGTTTTATCACCTTGAAAATTTCTCCATCATTAGAGACACGATTTATCCAATTGGCACACAACTCTGATTTCGTCAAACATATACATGCAACGAACACAGCATAGACTGTGATATAAGTTACCGTTTCAAAGAAACAGAAGTTCATATTGCCTAAATTTTGCATTAGGAAATTAGATATAACACGTTATGTTTGAACATCATAATTCAGCTAAACTTTAGAGAAATCGGAACCATGTGAGTAATTGCCATGCTGGTTAATTTCCACAATGATGTATACAAGTGTTAACAGCTAACACACTGATGGGTAGATTTACCACTGTGTATTGAGTGGGAAATCTCGGATATACCTGTCGGGAATCAGTGGACTGGCGCAGTCTGTGGTGACCTAGCAGGCCGTAAGCGATTATTGGTTATTTGATTATAGACTACTGTTATAGATATTGTCTATGCCGTGATATGGAAAAAATCGAAATAATCACAGTTATTAACACAATTGGAAACAAATATCTATTAGAGGGAAAACTGTCATATTACAAATGACTGAACGCAATAAAATGATAACAAATGAAGGCAAAAATGACTATGGTATAATTATCTACATCATTGTTTAATATCGTGATATAATAGTCTTGAAAGTGAAAATACAGCGATAAAACCAATCACCAATGCCAATAAAATCATTTAATCCGTCAAAAAACGAAGGAAGGCTAAACATTTGTCTATGAAAATACATACCGCTATGTGTATAGGAGTGATCAGATATCCGAAATAAATCTTGCTTCAAAATAATGTGTATTAATTTCGGAGTGAGTTAATTAGTCTGGTTCAAAAGAGGTGTCTTTCTTTAAAAGCATGAATTCAGAGTTAATATATGAATTTGTATTTCGTTTTATCATATATCTTGGAAGTGGAAAGTTTCAGTTATATTCCTAGGAAATCAAGTACATAAATCTGGAGCCAATTTGAATATCAAAATAGATAAGTGAAACACAAGGATAAACTTTGTTTTCTTGCACAGTTATATATATATACTAAAAGGATAAAGAAACGCAGGGTGAACTTTAAACCAGAAATTAAGTATGATATCGGGCTTCATTTAAAACGAAATTTTGTATACTTACAGATAAATTAAAGCTTAAAAATTCCCAAAGTCTGTATTTTGAATCTGACAATTGGTTTAGAGGTACTAACGATTAAATTGAATGGACCCATAGGATTTTGAAATTGAAATTGAACTGAGTCATCAATATCTTGTGTGTCCGCCGTTTGCTGTGGTCACGGCCCTTATTCTTCTGGTCATAGAGTTCATGAGAGCGTTAATCCGTTTTATGGGGATGTTGTCCCACTCTTCAATCAGAGCTCTGGTCAACTGCTCTCGAGTAGCAGGGGGTGGCTGGCGCTTTCGAACCTGTCTATCCAACTGGTCCCAAAGATGCTCGATCGGGGACAAATTAGGGCTATATGGCGGCAAATCTAGTGGTTGAATGTTGTTGTTGGCCAGAAAGACTTGGCAAATCCTTGCTACGTGGGGGATAGCATTATCCTGCTGGAGGGTTAGATTATGCTGCTGTAAGAAAGGGATAACATGGTGTCGGAGGATCTCATCTCTATACTTAGTTGCTGTTAAATTGCCATCAATAACAACCAATTGTGATTTAAACCTGTCTGAGATTCCTCCCCACACCATTACTGAACCGCCCCCAAACCTATCCCTCTCTACAACGCAAGCGTCCGTAAAACGTTCGCCACGTTGACGGCCGTCTGATCGATAAAGACAGAATCGAGACTCGTCCGTGAAGAAAACTTGTCTCCACTGCCTCAGTGGAAACCATCGTGGAGTATGTGCAGCGACCCAGGCCATACGACGCTGACGTCGAGCAGGGGTAAGGTGTGGACCTACGTAGGGGCGACGTGCTCTTACACCAACTTCTCGTAATCGATTCCTTACAGTTTTTGAACTTATAGGAACATTAAGTGCACTCTCAACGGCAGTAAGGCGCCGATTACGCACATGAGAGACGACGATATAGCGATCCTGACATCTTGACGTTACGCGCAGACATCCTGACCTATCGCCTAGTTTCCCGAAGACGTCTTACAAGACGTTCTATGGTGGAAACATTAACACCAAAGTACCTAGCAACCTGATTTTGCAGCTGTCCTTGCATCAGCATCTGAATGGCCTGACCCCTCTGACCTTCTGTGAGTCGTGCCATTCTTAAAACGAATCAAATTCTCAATTAATTTTAGGGAAGCAGTTGGTCTGTATAAAGTGACTTGACCAACGTTGCATGAGACCAGAACAACACGGTGCACGAAATTCTTGTTTTTTCCTTCCTCCATTTACCAGAGCTGCGCACTGTACCGTGACTAAATTTTCGATACATGACAATGTGTAATATGACCTAATTACTCAATCCACAAAGTTTCACTTTATTTGGAGAACGCGTTTTCAAAATATCGGAATAAATATTACCTTGCGTTTCTTTATCCTTTCAGTATATATATCAGTTTATATCGGTTTTGATTGCTAAGAGTGACATCTACAGGCGGCAATGATATGAAATTAGTCTCACTTAACATTAGGTATAATCAAAAGCCTATATGTTTTCGTTACTCTGAAAAATATAACCAGTTGTGGAGCCCAGCTAAAACTGCAGTAGATTTAGTATTTCGATTGTATAACGATATAACTTAGCCATTATAACATGCGAGATGCCTATATCATGTCTTTTGTACACAATATGGAATCATATAGACACGTTTTCTATAGTCTGTTTTATCATTGTTTGTGCGGATTCTATGGTTTGCTACTGTTTGAGGTCATTTTACAACTGCTGTATCTGTTCATGTTCACGTGTTTAGCCATTTGATTATACACTATTCCTGACAGTTCCTAAAATCAATCTGTATTGTTGCCAAACGAAGTACAGATCTCAACCACTATTACCATCTTATCAACATATCAAGTTAGAACAAAAAGTTATCACGAGTTCTCGGGATTTGGAGAACAAAAACGCTAGCAGGTAACGGACTGGTAGTGGTAAACATTTTGACCGTATGAAATACATAAAGATGGCATACAAACAACCCAAATCAGGTAGGCATCGACAGTGATAGTTATGCACAACTTATCGTAAAGACGATACTTAGTTACTTCAAAGAAAACAGTTCCAGTTAACAATCGGTGAGAATATCGTGAAGATCAATACGAAGCAAGCATAGAAAAAATGCCAAGGGCCCTATAGCAGAGTCCAACATATACCAACTATCAATAATGTTTCACAACCACACATATATAGACCGGGGTACAATACAAGAACAATGGCGTAGTAAATACAAAACCAAAAATATTAAATTTTGAAATTTCCGGAACAAATAAAGAAATATGATTTATTACAACATCATGTTGAAAACTCCCATGGCAATGCGCATTGTTAAACTTCGCAACACCACGCTCTCTCTATTTAGTAAATTCAATATATATATAAAAAATAAAAAAAACAGAAATGCAAAAACAAAAATTCTAAAAATAGTTTTCATCATAAATTCAATATTTCTAATGAAAAAAAAAAGTTGCAATTTCCGCAGTTTGTCCTTCCTTGTATGAATACCTATACAATCTGTATTACCCGAGTCTTGCAGTGCAGTAACCCTCGATTAAATCTTTCCTTATGACTCCTGACCTTGCTGTGCAGTATCTCATAGTCGATATTATTAAATTCATTGTGACCCCCGACCTTGCTGCATGGTAACTCATTGTCAATACTATTGGAGATCGTCGTGACTCTTCACTCGGTGTATTGACCTCATCGTCAATACTGTTAAGATACGCGTGACTTCCGACCTTGTTTTATAGCACCTCAGTGTCGATACAGATAAGATACGCGTGACCTCCGACCTTGTTTTATAGCACCTCAGTGTCAATACCGATAAGATACGCGTGACCTCCGACTTTGTTTTATAGCACCTCAGTGTCGATACTTTTAAGATACGCGTGACCTCCGACCTTGTTTAAAGCACCTCAGTGTCAATACCGATAAGATACGCGTGACCTCCGACCTTGTTTTACAGCACCTCAGTATCGATATTCTTAAGATCACCATGACCCTCGAAATGGTAGTATTATTGTATCTCACTGTTGATACTATTTTGATGTTCTTGACCCCAACTTTGCAGTAAACAAATGAATTAAACTTTGACCTAAGACCGACTTTACTCATCTTGTAAATATACCATACCGTCTTTAACTTAGTTGTAAACTCGATCGGGGGAATGTGAGTAACTAATTAGTAAAACAATCATAACAAAAAAGTTACATTTTTTATATGCACGGGTTACTCGTTCGATCTGTTAATTTAAACAAATCTGAATATTGGTTCAACAGGTGTTTTAATTGAACATTTTCCCTCACATAGGAAGACGTATTATGACCTCAACATTGAAATGACGTTTATAATACATTGATGATTGATAAAAGAGAGCGTTATTTTTCATATACATATCTTAGAAATGATTCGACCGTCCATATTAATGAGATATTGTATAAATAAAGAAAAGTACTGTTTTGCGTTAGACGGGAAAAATACAATTTCGGAAAATTTTCTTCAGGTTGGTAATGCCAATGCCACGCAGCTGGTTACGGAAGCCATCTGGATATGACGCAGCGGGCAAGTTCTAAACAGGGACAGGATGCCTCTATGACCAGGTGTTAAACAAAGCGGAGCCGAACTCTACATTACATTGTTACAATTCTGTGAATTTAAGTATAATCTGTTTACCATCTCGTCACACTATTTTTGACCTTAGTGAACATAGGATTATGTTACAACAAAAAATTTGGACGAGACCTCACCATCTCGTACACAATGTACGCCAGTGCAAGTTGGCTCCGCACTGGTCATTTGTCTAATGAAGGTGACTGTGTAGTCATCGAAACGTCACACTCAAATCTTCCACTTGTTGTGTTACAAGAACTTCTATTCTACAACTTTGAACTGTTGTTTTCAAAGTGATATGCTGTAATTGTTACCTGTTGAATGATTCCGGATGTATTGGAGTTTTACATGTCTATGCCTATCGTGCTCTTGGAAGCTTACAAAGTGTATAATTCAAGATTCTATTGCTTACTTAAGTGTCAACAACTTGATCCATTCTATGCATATCATCATCAACGCTGTAAATTATGGTAAAAATGCGTATTTCAACGAATGAGCTTCATGCGTATATCACAACATAAACATTTAACAAAAAAGTTCAATAATGTTGCTACTGAATGGGTTTTATTTAAAAGGAAAAACATCACTTGTACAATAGATCACATGCAACCATTGTTGGTACAACTCCGGACTTCCGTAGAGTACCCGGTACAGTAGTCGCCGCCATCTTGAGGAGCTGGATCGTCACAGACACGTGATCGTTCCTGATATCCCTTACAATTTACAACTCCTTTACATCCTGACCATGCTGACCACTGTCCAAAGCCACCGTTAATTGCTGTGTAAAATATACATTTATCTATTACAATGCCATTTTAATGCCCTTGTTTACGCAGATAGCTGCCATTATGAAAAAGATAGCATCTATTACAACATAGAGAATATTCAAGTGTCTTCAGTAAAAACCGAATATATATTCAACAAGCGTGTTTAATATTTAAGTATCTTTCACGAGTGCGATGATCTGTGATATCTCTTCATTCTTGCAAGTCTGCAAAAGTTAAATTTTTCACTAGTGAAAAAATAACAATTTTATCACTATGATATTTCTTTATCTCACTAGAAAAAATGTAATAAAAATTATAATTCCATATTTAATTATAGAACATTAAGGTAAACTTCCTTATATGAACCTACGAATGCCCCTCCCTCTTGTGTTGTGATGGTTTTGCCGGAATCTGATGAACAAGTAATTCATGCCATACTGAATGGAGAGATTAAGATATGACCTTAATCATGTCATGCCGAATGGGGAGACTGAAACATGACCTAATCCATGTCATGCTGAATGGAGAGATTAAAATATGACCTTAATCATGTCATGCCGAATGGGGAGACTGAAACATGACCTAATCCATGTCATGCTGAATGGAGAGATTAAAATATGACCTTAATCATGTCATGCCGAATGGGGAGACTGAAACATGACCTAATCCATGTCATGCTGAATGAAGAGATTAAAATATGAACTAATCATGTCATGCTAAACGGAGAGATTAGATTTATGATATAATGACCATATCTAGCTCTGTTATATCACATTATTAGATTAGATAATAAATTTTCGTCGATCATCATACCGAAACGGTCCCACATGGTCTACGTCTTGGTAAAAAGAAAACATGAGATAGTTATATGTGTAGATTTTGTAAATGTTGTTTTGTTACCATGAATTTTGAATAATGTTCAATGTATAATAACCAAGAAGGAGGATTGGTTTTTTCCCTTCTTAGTGATACAATGACGTCTTAATATGTAACAAATAGTGCAATATGTTTACTTAACATGAGACTTGTGTTGATTGGTTCTCGATTAGTTGTGTATGTTTCATTCAGAAATACATAGGTGAGAGCCTGCAGGTGGATAAATGATATGTTACTATCGGAATTTAACACACAATCAATCTATATCTCGCGAAATGAACACCAATACTAAGAACACTTACGACAAGGTTGAACATTACAGCTTTTCGTTTCTTGGCTCGGACCGACACAACTCTTTCCTCCATTTTGTGGTCTCGGACTGTCGCACGTCCGGGTCCTAACAGACTGACCGTCTGTCGGTAAACGAAATCTTATATCTTGTGCACAATACTTCATTGCAATAACTTGCTATCACAACAATTATTTACAAATAGAAAAGGATAAGTATAACATATCTATAAAACAATGTAAGAACATTTAAAATCGCATTAGCCAATTGTAATACTATATAACATAAAACACGAGTTTACTTGCGACACATGGTTTTCAACATTACGATTTCTACCTAACCATTCACAATAGTAATACTATATACCATGAAACACCAATCAAACGTATCAGATATTATTTCGATATGACAATTTCTGCCTTATAAAACTTCACCCACCTCCACACTTGGCGCTACATTCTCCCCATTCTGACCAGTTTCCGTATTTACCGTCTATCCCTTGTCGTGTGGTAAAGGGTAGCGTAAGGCCCGCACCCCAGTCCTGCGGCCGGGGAAAATAAAAATCAGTAACTAAATACACTGACCTATACTACAATACCATAATTAAGGCAATGGTTTATTTATTTAAATAGAAAGATAATATATTATCTTCTTTATATTTATGAATAGATACTATTATGAAGAGACGGAGAAGTATCATTGCTCAAGATACCTTTTCAATTTTAACATTTTTTTTTTCAAGAAGATTATGAATTACAACCCATGTGAAACCGTATATAACCAAGTTATTAAAAATTATACGAAAGACAAACATCTGATTAGCGCCATTTTATTAGATAAGATAGAGTGGAGCCCAACGATGAACCAAACTGCTTCATATAGCTGTTTTCCGTCCTTCCTGGATTTTGTAGTAATGCTATGCGCCTAAATTTTCAAACCTAAGAGGCGAATGACGAAAATCTATAGTGATCGAAAGAAATGTCAAAATCTAGATGGGGAGGTTCATGACCCCCATTATTAATTACATTTCATAATTCTCATATATCTGATTACTTTAGAAGAACGTCAAGTGCATGTTTATATTATGAACCGTGTCACCATTCCAATTAATCAAAACGGGGCATGCAGGTTACAGCAAATCTCGGGGTCTAATAGTCAAGTAGCAGTGTCTACCACCTGCAATCTAGAAGATTGTACAAAAGTGACATCATGAGAACAAGGTATAGAAAAGTAAGTCTATTTATCTGCACCATGTGGGATTCAATAACAACGTAAGCTGTGTCGAATCTCTGATTACCTGTTCTGGTTCCTGGAAATACGTGTTCATTGAGTTCTGACGCTTTTTCACTACCGGCGTCTGAAACAAAAATAGCAACAAATAACATAGGTATACTAAACCGTAGTAATGGATGATAAGGCCAGATGTCCCCGAAGGGTAGGTGACTTCAGACTAATTGAAGACAACCGTATAATAAATCTTGGACATACTAGAAATGAAGCCTTCCAAAATAAGGACTGTGAACAACAACGAAACATTCACATTAGCAGTGTATTTATTTTATTTACATAGATTGGTTCTACCTAGAAACAAACAGAAACAGTTACCTGAGTAGGTGGTGTAGGAGTATCCCTCTGGCTACAGTCAGTGTCACTAAGGTCTCCTCCCTTGATATTTATTCGTATGTTTGGACAATTGTAACCAAGGCAATCATAGTAATTTCTGGCTGCGCGATCCATCGGGGTCCGCAACTTTACGTAGAGCATTCTAAAACAACCTCTCAACATCAATATCTGTATTCAATCAAAGAAAGTTTACTGACATAACAGGAGCTTTAGGTTTCGGTGGCGTTGTTTCCAAAAATAACACACGAATGCATAATCAAAAGCAAACTTCAAAATCAATGAATTTAGGGTATGAAAAAATCAAGAAAATACCAACGTGGCAACATAGTCGTAATTTAAACTCAAATTCCATAAAACTAGGGCAAAATATGATAAAAAAAATATTTACACGAAGACTCCTGAAAAAGTACAAGGAGAATAAGATCAGGTTTTGCGGAAGAATAAGCGTCTGCTGCTTCATTCATCGACGACACCCGCCATGTAAACCTTGATCAATCCAAATAACGTCACGTTCTCAGATGAGAATAAGATATACAACAAGGAAACAAACAGACAAACAAATGAGCATGAAATACGTCCAGCTTCATGTCGCATAAAGAACAGACAGTTATTTACTTTTATATACAGCTGTTTATCTAACATCTTCTGAAATTATCAGATACATGAAAATTAAATTTAAGGCTAATGCATCTTCACAACTATATTTTGGCATTTTTCTGGATGGAGTCGACTCCTTGCTTTCAAAATTTAGGTACAATTCCTATAATAAGGCAGCTTAATTCATTATTTGTCTCTAAATCTAAATTAAATTGCTTAATTGTGTTATTTACTGGTGTGGCTTTTGTAAAGTTTATGAATGTTTAAATAAGCCACAATACCATTGAATTATGTCGTACTGTTGCTCAGTATGCTTGTATTTACCACTGTAACACAATGCTTTGGTTTCAGAATATACCATTACATGACTTTAAATTATGTCGTACTGATGCTCAGTATGCTACGATTTACCACTGTACCACAATGCTAAGATTTTCCACTGTGCTGTCATGATTTAATTTACCAATATACCATAATGCGCTACTTTATCACTTAAGGCTATGCTTATATCTGCTACTGTATCGGAGTGATTTTCAATTGTACCGTAATGTTTTTGCTTTTTCACTTACCACAATGTTGATTTACAACTATACAGTAATGTTTGCTTAATCACTTAAAATTATACTTAGAATTACCACTACCATTACGTACCCTGTGTTACTGTTGTAATGGTACTTTGTACCTATAGTATCATCATCTATCTCCTGTATGCTGTTCACCTTGGTCCAGAACATTGTACCCCAAGCGACTGTAGGATACCAGGTCATTAAGTCGAACTGAGCGTTGCGCGGCAGACAAAAGCCAATGCGTATAGGGAAATCTCTGCATGTAAAAAATGGCATCACAATATATTAATGAAATGAAAATGATGAGGGAGAAGCTTTTATTTGCAAACCACGGTGCGCAAAAATTAAAACTACTATTTATTGTATAACTGAGAAAAGTTACATTTTTACAGATTTTAAAGTCAAAATAAGTGCGACAAAATCAAATGAAGGCAGTCATTTTGTTACTCCTTTTTCAATTACAGCGAAACGTCACTGTCCATATCATGAATATAAGTTTATTTCTGACAGACACAGTGCTTCATGTTTGTAATTTGAAATGATTAAATTATACATATATAAAAGGTTTCTTTAAATCTTAATAGAATAAAAAAGAAATACTAGCAGTTAATGTGGTTTGAAATTATCTTGTTTTCGAGTAGTTAGGGTAACAACATGAACAATCTAGGACGGACTGAAATCATTTAACCAGAAATACATGTGCTACAAAGCTTCCACGACAAGGAAGTGAAACAAAATAAGAATGTTTCAAAATCTAATATTTCACGTTATCTACGAAGTCATACGAATACGTTTTAAATGTTTCTGCGAATCAAATATTCATATGAAGTTACATAAAAAAGAAATATCAAAACAATTATCTACTTCAAAAGAATTTGTTTTGAACTGTTTAATTGATATGTTAAATTTCATGTATTTGTTGTTTGTGTAAGAAATACCCTAGCAAGTTGAAAAAAAGTTAATTTCAATGCCAGCTTACTTTTCCATCCCACTCATTATAATCATGTATTCTGACGGTGACCCGTTTGACCAGTGTACAGAGTAACTGTGTTGGCCGTCAGCAATCATTGAAAAACTATGCACGAAGTCTGTGGTGGCAAGACGTCTAGGCTGATCTGGTATGTCGTCACGTGACACAAATGGTTTTAGTGCTGCATGGCCAGGTGACATGATGAAAAACTTCATCTGTAAGTACAAAACGTATATTTTTGCAAAAGTTCATCAATGATTTCTTTTGTTCACGTGGGTTAATAAATCGAATATTTACCAGGGATGCGGATGTGGGTAAGTAATCCTACAAATTGTGTACCTTCGTATGAGAGGATGGTGTAAGAAGTATCTCATTCCTCCATATCATATTCACTTTAAGTCGTAGAAAACCTTGCTCATGTCATATTTTAACAATTGCAGTATACTGGGATGTATGTGCTCATTTTAGGTTAAGACTCTTTACATAAATGATGATAATTAATAATTCATTCTGAAATTCAGCTCTCTTTTTAAGCATAATCCAATATTTCAAGTTGTGATTGTTTCCATTGAAAACAATCTTTTCTCTTTATAATACATTGAATTGAATTAAATGTTACAAATCGTCAATCCTAGATGCCAACAAATCAAAAACAAATAAACTTATAATAGTGACGAAAACCAAGTTACTTCGTATTTGAAATTTAATTTATTTATTGCCGTATTAAAACAAAAAATGTTGAAATAGAGGCAAAGAATACAATTAATTTATGATTACCTCTATATATCTATGGGGACAAACGGCCAGGTTCCAGGAATCACGAAATGTGCAGTCTGGCGTAACCATATAGGGATCATCCCGAACAACAGAACTGTCGGGTATCGATGTAACCGTTCCGTCCATATCTACAAACTTAGCGGCAATGTCCCCATCAAAGTCACCGAATCCGTGTATGCTGCTGTTACCATCATAAACCCTGTTACCTGTGAGGATCTGGTGAACAAAATAATATATATTTTACATACAGAGGCAGCTGAGACGCAATATTAATCAGTAAAGAAATAATTAACTTGAGATGCATTAACAGTTAAATATGCTTTGACGTTAGCTTCTCATTCTTAAATTATATAAATTAAGAAATGATCCAATGCAGTGAAAGGTTCCAAAGGATCACCTGATTGGAATCTGCTATTAATCAATTTTGTGTATTTATTTCTTACAACCAAATGCGTAATAGTTCAGTACCTCTAAAAGTAACTAATAAAGAAAATAAATAGGATTTGTAGCAACTGATTAGCTCTGATTTAAAATGTAATTCTGTACAAAAAGTATTTCAAACCATTTTCATCTATTTTTTTTCATTACAGGTGAATAGACTGATTGTGTCTTATAGAGAGCTAGGTTGTGTGCCACAAGATGACAATTAGTGGAAGTTAGCTTCGCAGTAGTATAAAACATTGACTAATTCATTTATTGATTCACCAAATGTGTCTTGATAATGATCTTATATATGTGTGTATGGAGAGTTGTGTGCTTGAAGAATTTGAAGAGTTTTGGAAAATATAAACAGTGACATTGAACATCATTTACACTGTTCATACCATGAATAATGATTATGATTAGATAATGATTAAAAGTCTTACAGAAGGTTCATGTAAGTTTATTGCTAGTATTCTATTGCATCAACATGGTCAACGAACTGATACCAAGATTAAGTTCAGTAAATATATCATATTAAGGATGAATGGTACTCACTGCATCAGGAAATCCGAATTGAATGTTCTTTGTGCCGCTAATGGAGACACTTCCGTGTTTGTTGTTTTTCTTAAATCCTAAAGCACCCGCTTTTCTGTATTGATTGGTAGTGAAATTCCCAAAGAATGTATCAAACACATATGCAGGTCCAGAATAGAACACTACACCTTGGATAGGGAAGTTACTGTTAAAATGATAAGGTCACATGTATACTACGTAAGCATCATCACACAACCTTGTAATGTATAAAATGAACCGGAATTATCGTAGAAAGAGAATAAGATTATGTTTAAAGCAGTTTTATGTTTCTTCCATACTGCCTTAATGTTGCACTAAAATATTTCAAGTTCTCCATGGAATCAATATAAATCTAGTTTAGGTGTACCTGTCGCTTACATTTCTTATTCACTAAACAATAGATAAAATTGGAAGGATAAAATAAACAGTTTTTATCTAGTTCTTTTACATTGGTTGAGAAGCAAAATACCTGACTTCATTATGAATAACTTGCAATAAAGAAGATAAAAGTCATGTGATAAACATACTAATCAAATCTATGTGGCACTGAACGCTGCAGCAATTTCCAACCGTCAGAGCCTAACCCCCTTTCAGGATCACCGATGTTGTTTGTCTCTCCTAAAACCACACTTTTCGAAAGGAACTGTTTCAGATTCCATGACCTAAAAAATGACGTGATTGTTCATATTTCATAAATCATGGAATGAAACCAATATAAAATACGTCATGTTTAGTGTTTCTTCTCTCAGTGACTCTTAGTTCGCGCTTTCAAAACAAACATTCGTGACGTAACTTTCGGATTAATCAGATTGCATTTTCAAATCATCTCTATTTAACATTTGTTTCAAAGTGAAAAATAGTTTCGAATATTTATGAAATAGTAGATGTCATCTAATGTATTTTATAGAATAATGACAGTGTTTTTGCAACATAAACAACAAAATACTCTTATATATTGATTCTATCTATGTTCATTCTATATAAAGATGAGTACAAAAATCCAATTAGTGAGGTTAATTCAGAGCAGAGTTTAGTGGGATTGTCTGCCTCCCAATAACATGTACTACTAACAACATGTAAATCAATGGTCTTACCCGATAAAAAGGAGAGACGTGGAACTTCCAGCAAGTCTACGAATTAGATAAAGTTCAATTAATGTATCAATAAAGTAAACATTATGAAACAAAATTATCTGAATTCCTGAACTTTAATTATCAATAATTGAACCTTGAACCCCACGATTAAAACTGTTTAAACTTATTAAGACCTACTGACATTCATCCAGAACCGAAAGCAAACAATTACGATTTGGGTCCCCACATTTATTGATATTAACACGAGAATGTTTACGTATGTCTGAAAATGACTTTTTATTTTGTATATACATAATTTACTATATAAGTGCATACGAAGCTTTGGACAGTGTGATCCAGCCACTTCTGATCCATGCATTGCGTCCGTTCTGGTACGCTGCAAAAAACCAAAGAAATGTTTGTCATTCACCATAGAAAGTATTGGACCATGGGAAGTATTCAAAATGATCTCTGATAGACCATAAACCTATTTTAAAATTTTATTCATGTGGTATTGTCAAAAGATAAAGTAACAGAAAGACATCCGGCTTATTACTTCTGTTGCTTTTACATCCTCAAACTTCCTGCAGCATTGGAAGAATATGGACATAGCGGCAACTATTATAAAGCAATTACTTGACGTGGGGTATTTATTTTGTCTTGTAAGCTCTTAATCCATTAATTTGCACAATATCCAATGAATTGAAAATAATTGGACATTAATCGTTGTATCAGTTGAGTAATATTCATCTAGGAAACCAAGTGCCACTAAACTGTTTATAAAAACCAAGCATTTTTTGTTAAACGAGAATGTATTTTTCAGTAAACAAATTATCAAGGACATGGTAAAGGAAGCTATTTAACAACTTCTCGTGTCCTTCACACTGTGTTTACCTATTAAACTGTGCTTACATGTGCTTTGATAATTTTCAAGATTGTTTTTATATCAGATGAAATAAAACAATTATGATTACATATTTTCTACCACCTATTAATACCTAAGCATCTTACATTACCCAGAAAGTTTTCGATAATTATTGCTACAGGTCATGTTTTTTGTTTGTTTATTTGTTTTTTTGTCTTTTTTTTTTGTTTTTTTTTTGTTTTTTTTTTGTTTCCTGAGCGTGAAGTTTAACCTACGTGGGAAGGCAATAGTAAGGGCCAAACTTGTTGGGTGGGACGTGTGTGGAAGTGGGGGTAGCAATTAACCTATAAGTGTGATGATATTTCATAAACAGAATGAAACTGACAACCTTTATGGTTCTTTAATAGGTATAAACTTTTGTTTAATTACCTTTCCATTGAAGGCATTGACTCACATATAATTCTGATGAAAGCCAGATAAATATTATAACCCTTTACTCGTGACCGCCCACAGATATCACTTAAGTCTTAATTCTTAAATAATGTTGATGACATGTTTTCTTAAATTTGTAATTGCATTTTCACCTGTAACACAACTAGTATAGTCACACTTTAATCAGTTTCTAATTCGACAGCGCAGTTGAGACTACTCAAACATTTTCAAACGTTTCGATATATAATTGCTAATAAGGAGATCATTGATATATAATAATAGTTCAATTAGCAACTTCAAAGTTGATGCTCTCATTAAACACCGTCTATTCATAAATACATACCAGTGAGTCTTTCGATAATTACATGTTTGTCGGCAGATTTATCATCGAACGGATTTTCCCTTGGATGGTAAAAATTGTCTGCAATGATTTGGCCAGTATTTTCGTCCAGTCGGTCATCCACAAAAAGTCCAATCTTGAAATTTTCAGTTAGTGAGACATTAAATAAAAATATATATAAATAAATTTTACATTGATAAAAGGAAAAGTTTAAGTTCTAAAATGTATAAGATAGAGTCAAACAACTACGTATGAATGGGTTGGGCTCTAAAATTCAATCATATTACTATATATATACATTAGACATGGCAACCAGACTAATCCTTTCAATATTTGAAACGTAATTTCTTTTCTTAAATCAGTATACATGTTTGAAATGTAAGTACATCAAAAATGTTACCTTATTTGAATGAGCGACATTGTTATAGAACTCCATAATGGCTGTATGACGGGCCTCATTCCTTTGCATGAAACCTTTGGTAGCGGACCCAGCGAGTGGGATATCTGGGTAGATAAACCAATATCCCTTGGCCTATGATGATAAAATGGTTATTCACAAAAAAATTAACTTCTAGAAGTGTTAAAGAACATGTGCGATTACATTGTTGAAAAGGACAGTAACATGCGATATCCTCATTAATGCGAAAACTGATATACCTTACTTCCGGCGGCGACATTGTTCCTTACTACTGTATTGGGATTCGTGATCCAAAACGTGGTTGCTTGGCTGATGGAATAGAAAATAGATTCTTAGATCCTATGGTATCTTTATTTATTTGTGTTTACATCAATTTTTTACTCTACTCAACAATGTTTTGATTGTTTTTCAAATACAGCAAGTTCTCAGATATTTTCATGAGTGCGAAGCTTCGCTTAAATATTTTACGTGATAATGAAATAGATAAATGCCCCACATTTTATCTGGAAGGCAACCTACAAAATCACTGACGAATACCGACAAAATTATATTAACCTATCAGAAGGTATAAGCTTGCCGGTCCTGGTGCTGGCCCCGAGATTGCCATCAAACACGGTCCTCTTCTCCCCACCATCCTCAAGGAAAAAGCAATGACCGAGAGATTCGTATCCGACATTGTCCATAACCTAAAAGATATATTGTTTTGATATCTCTCATCTCTCTTCCCTAGTTCTTTTCTTTTTTCCTAAAACTTAACATCAAATACATTTAGAATTATTATTTCTATTATGTTTCTGTGTTGCACAAACACCTTTTAAGCTTTATAAGACAGATTTGTTGTTATAATGCATTTTAAATCTCGAAATTTTGTGTTTACTTCTATATCCATGTCCAAAGAACGTTTCTCCAATAGTTCTTACCGTGACACCGTGTGTTCCATGGATTGTTATACATCTCGCGAAGGTGTGATGGATAGAGTTTTCCCGCAAGTAGGGAGGATTGGGATATTGTGAACCATCCACGTCCTCACACATGTGAAAATGAATGGGATAGTGACCTGAATTCAAAAGCATTTCTAACCTATAACATCTAATTTTGACAATTACATAATCAAAATAAAATTTATTACACTTGTAATATTCCAAAGTCAAAAATTTTCTTAACGATTACACCCAAAATTTTATCAAATTTTGCATTATTGTCAAAAAAGTCAATGATATATACCTAGGTCTGTCTGTTTGCCTAGGTGGTAAAATTCTGCTCCTTCAATATGTACGTCCTTAAATCCTATAACGGCCTGTAAAATACGATGGTATGGATGAGAAATTTGTATGATGATAACAATATTGGCATGATCGAAGTTCAATTTCAAATCGATGAAACAAGGAAAATATAAGAACATACCTTAAAATTTTGTATAAATACATTTGAAAAAAACGTACAGTGATCATAAGACCATGTATTCCAGAACGGTAAGCATCCTCTTCTTTATTGAGGGCTTTTGTAAATCTTGATCATTCCAAAAAAAAAAAAATTAAGTATCACATTCAAAATGTTTATAATGGAAAATATTTTTCTACAAAAAGCATTTATCATTCAACAGAACGAAAAGTAATTAGTTACGCAACACTTCTAAAAAGGCGAGCGACACAGATGATGATGCCTACCTTTACGTGACCACCAAATGTATCGTAGGCGTAGTCGTTGCAGTTACCGTTTACAGAAGGGCAAAATGCGTTCATAACGCCTTCTATAACGATATTTCGAGACAGTAGGGCCACTTCGCCTCTCATATCAACGTTATATTCAACTTCACCGTAGTGCATGAATTGTGGAAGGACTGTGGAAGAACAATATGTTTTACCCGATTATTTACATCTAAAACCTTATACAGGCTCACAATATAAGGAGATGATAGATGGATTGAAAGAGGGAACTGAAGTAAAATAAATGTTTTGGTTGAGAAAATGTGAGATAAAATAATGATTTTAGGGACATACAGAGATAAGTAACATTTGATAAAAATTTAAGACAACATGACGTGTGATCGATTAGCAAAAAATAAAATGGCAAGTACAAGTTACAATGTAAGATGTTGCTTATTCTCCATGGATATCCAAGTGTTTCTTGATGTTTTAAATACAACATACAAAGTTCGCTAATGTCAATACTCATTTATCGTGGCATCACTTTGGACCGTATGACACGCGATTCTGGTATCACATTGAAAGTATTATACGAATTGGAATTCAGTATAGTATTAATGATTGTAAAAGACCATAAATTTAGAGCTCCTTTTAATACATTTTAGACAGCTTTATAATATGGATCAAACTGCATCATACATCTGGGAATTATTCTAGGACCCGTCAGTGATGGAAAGGGTTTAATTTTTTTTCAAATCTGAGAGATAACTGAAGATGATGAGAACAGATGAATAAAACAAAATTGGATTAACTTTTTTTTTTTTCATATACATATCGGATAATTTCAGAAAAACGTAATGTAAAACATTTTTATTACTTTCTTAATATATGATCTGACTGATAAAACATGACTGTTGACCTGAATGGGTTAAGTCACGCAAAACCAAGAAAAGATATCCATTATACAAAGCAACACTTAAATCAAGTCTTTCACTACCATTTTATATCGTCACATATAATGGGTAGACGCAAAGCAAACTGTACACTTACACGACACCTTAACTTGCGTACTGGTGCAAGTTGTACATTTGACAATGGTGGCCACCTCAGCTTTTTCCATATCATAATCAGTTGAGGTCAGCAACAAGCGGTCACCTGTGAATGCCGTTAGGAAAATATAATTCACTGTTTTTTTTATTTTGAAACTTTATTTATTTGAGAGGCATGTTTTTTTTTTATTATTATATTAATTACGTCTAAAGCCCCTTATCAAAGCGTGCGAGGAGCATAACTGTGGTAGGAAACCAGAAAATCCAAGGAAAAACCCCACATGATCGGTCATTTATTCCGTTATCTCTTCGCGTCTGTTCGGGGAATCGAACCCCGAATTTTTAGTAGACAAATCTTATTTTTGTATACCGATAACTTAGTACACAACGTGTTAAGATATACGTGTGATCATGTGACCGGTACCTTCATCCCAGGAGCTGACATCATCAATCAAGTCCAAAATGATAGCGGCATTTGATTTTCTCACGACCTTAAACTCAACTCTGTGATTTTCCCAGAATTTGATTTGTTTTGATGTAGTTTTGCTTATTGCTACCATCACGAGATCGTTAACGTCCACCCTGGCCTCAGCTCTTTGGTGGTAGTGTTGAACAGGGCTCAACGTCTCCATTGTTTTTGAGGCATCCCCTTCAATGTATGAAAAGTGTAAAATGACAAAAAAGTTTATGGCCTTTCTTTTTTAGATATATTTTTTGCCAATGTGAGATATTCGGCGTGATACCATAATGTTTTAAACCAGGTTTTGAAATAAATATAAAAAGTTCATGTAACAGGACATTAAAATATAAGCTCAAATATGGAATCATCGAGTTGATCATTCACACAAATTCCCAAGGGGAGTTCTACAACATTTATATATGCTTAATCGAAATCATTATTGCTTGTCTTCTCTTCCATATGTAGCTAAAGGACGTCACTATGTTACATCCAGATTCCTGTCCAATGATCAAAGTTATCTTTAATTTACCTTTAACAGTAGCAAGAGCGTAAGCGTCGAATCTTCCAATACGTCTTATTTGACCTTGACCTTGCGAAATACCAGCAACTGTCTCAATAGCGTCGAAGACAGCAGAGAAGTCTACCTGATTTTGGTCCGATAACATAGTGTACTGGACCCCAATCAGGACAACTTTGCCATCGGGGATACCTGCAATGAGTAAAACAAAATAAAGGTGAAAGAAACCTGTTTTATTTCGTTCTATTTTACTACATTAACACTTGCATTCTGTTTGCAAGTAAACGAAGTACAGAAATGACGTGAAAAATCTATAGAAAAAAATCCATTCAAAAACGTTTTAAAATAGAATAGACGTATCATTGAAATCCAGTTTAAAATACAAACTGTATCACCTTCTGAACGTCAAATATAATTAATATTACTCGAATAAATAGATTCGAGCAATGTGTTTGCTCGCACTTGTAAAGAGAAAACATTTCCACTCTTTAATCACATTCGATTATCCAATCGATTGTAGGTTTGAATTACCATGCTTTTGTTCCTGTCACCGTTCAAGTTACAAACAGTTGTTGAAATAACACAAATTCATACCACCAATAATATCGACTTAAAATATGATGTCTCACCTTAAGTTTTATAAAGACCAACTTACCAGACAGGTGGGAGACGATATCGCCAACAGCCAAATCCGCAGCTGCTTTTGATACTCCACTAGTGGAAAACATCTTAAAACTGTTGAGTCCGCCATTAGAATTAAACGTGTAAATGGCCATTCCTTCTTGATGATGTCCTATTGACTTTGAAAATAAATTCCAGAAACTTATTATCAATGCCAACAACCAATCAAAACACAAATGGTAACGTATAACTGTAATATCTGATACGACAACACCGTAACAAATATTTTTGATTTGTTACAAGCTAGCAGGTTATACTGACTTCTTATTAAAACCTTTCCTTGTTTAAATGCAAGCAATTTGATGTGTGCTGTTGACATGAAATTTTAAAAAAAGGACGATAATTCTTTAATTAAGGGGTTATGCACCCTGACATTGGTACACTGTGCATCGTCTTAGAATGATCAATATACACAACAAGTTTCATTATCCTAACTTAAATGCAACCAATGAATCCGAACATGAAATTATAACAAAGGGCAGTAACTCTGTAATTTTTGAGGTCGAGGACCCTGAATTGTGACTGCGCATCGCCTTAAACAAAGGGTAATAACTTTGTAATTGAGGGGTCAAGGACCTTTAATTTAATACACAACACATTGTCTTACTATGATCAATGCATACACTAAGTTTCTTAATCCTTGCTTATCTGTAGGCAAAGTTATGATCCGGACGGACGAACGGACATGCCGATGACTGTATGTTCTCTAGAAAATATCGAATGAGCATCAAAAAATAAAACGCTCTCAAGTAAGATGATTATATACTGAAGGAAAAGGATATTAAAATACTCACTTGGTCAGAGGTCGAGGAAAAGACCAGTCCATTGGTCTTCTGTAGTCGAGGAACCGTACGAGTTAACTTGGTCCACGACAGCTTCTTCTTCCCGTGGATTTCCAGCGTTCCCCCGTTGTCCACTCCCACGAATTTTTGACCAAACTTCGGTACCGTATACTCTTGACGATCACCTGGAATACTTTAGTTCATGAATTTGGTTCACACAAATATACATACATCTGCTTTCAAGATCTCTACAGTCAACCTATAGATTTTACTTAATACAATTAGTCTTTTTTACACATGTATATTATGTCAGATATATAAATCCATCGTATATGTTATTAGAAACTGCACCCCATACACACACTGAGGTAACAGAGCATATACATGTGTTTATCTCTTCGTTTCGTCACCTAATCTACAGTGCACTGTTAATTTTGACTTGTGATAATTACAATCCAGATACACGTGCATGTGTAGGTTAATAATACAGTTTAGCACATTTTATAAACTTTTCATCATGGTAATTATATCACATGACAAAACGAATAAATAAACACCTGTGTGTGTTCTGTTTTGAAAAAATATCTGCCATAAGAGAACGGTTTCAAATTGAAATGAAATATGTGTTTGGCTCTTGCAGTTATCTGTCTGAATTTACTTGCCTGTCAAAGAAATCCGAGCATTTGCCTGGAATGGACAGGTCTCAGAACCAATGTGGAGTGCTCCTTTTAAGTGGATGAAGTTTGTAATCAACTGGAAATCTCCCCCCGGACTCCACACGAGTTTGGCGTTTGTTTCAACCGTTACTCCAAAAAATGCGGGAGGTGACATGTCCAAGAGTACATCGCCAGTTATACTGACGTTAGCCCCAGCTTCTGGAAGCTTTCAAAAGTGAAACAAAATTTCAGAATATTTTGTAACATATTACATTGACATATACTCAAAAGATTCACCGTGTTAAATTTGAAAACTAATTATAGTTGTAGGTTGTTTCATGTTTATTTGTTTAAAAACCAATATTAGGAACTTTTCGTGTATCCTGGTTAATATCTTAAGATACATTCCTTTAAAAATTTAGATATATTTACCTTATTGTTAGGCCAGGTAGATACATCACTCCATCGCGATAGAGTAACGTCATCATGTGGACACGTGATTGCTGACGTCACAAAGCATAAAATGCCAAGCGCTAAATGCAACTGTCGTTGCAATAATGTTATCATGATTTCAACACGTTATATCATGCGATACACCGCTGAATCCTACAAAAGTAGATTAATGAACTTTAACTTGTACATTTTTTTTAATAACTTAAAATGTAAGAAAGACTTAGCAGGTTTTAATCTTTTAAACGTAAAAATGAAGTCTACGAAGGCAATGTACAGAAATTAATAAATTCTGACGAGCTTGAGCTCACTGAAATTACAGTTATACAATAGCAATAAAACACTGAATCCGCTAAAAGTAGATACTGTATGATCTCCAGGCATACGTTCAGGTTCGGTAAATACTCTCTCATGTCAAACTAAACCGAATTCCCTGTGTAAGCAATAATGACAAGGTATCTACATCAGCAAATTGCTTGATTAAACTATCGAAACAAAATCTTCTGTCGCCAACCTTTTACCTTAAACGTTTCAACCGCACTTATGATTGGCTGGTAGCGTTTATAGGTGCTTGTGTACTAGATCCGGAACAAGGGTCATTTGACCATGAAATGTTGTGGGCGGATGGTCAGTAAGTTCGATTGTAAATAAAGTTTAATAGTTCTAAACTTCGGGTTTGGAGTGAGTATACAGTTGTAAATGACATGTACAAAATGCATTGGAAATTTGCATCATTTTCGAAACAAACCAATACAACCAATTCTGATCACCATATGAATATACCTGTATATTAATTGTTAGAATTTATTTAATTAGTCATTACATATTGAAGTAAGGTGTTTCCAATTCCGAAGATTCAATATCGTTTGTATGTGTTTGATAAAGGTAAAGTAATTAATATAGACTCTAAGTTTTTTCTCATCTCATATGTAGTTTATCTGTGTGATATGTTTTTTAATATAAAATAAGATATTGTTTTTAAACACCTATATTGCAAAAACTCTATAGTGTAACTTTGAAATAGCAGAATTATGAAAACTATCACCAAGGATGAATTTCAAACTTATTATTGGAATTAAAACCATTTCATCAGCTATGGCAAATACATGAAATTTACAAATAGTTTAATCGGCTCGAAGGTAAATGTTTATTTAATGCAAATTAAGTCTCAAAATACCATTTATTAAGATAAATGCAGATGTATGATGCAAGGAGTATTAAATTTTTTCCCTTTATTACTACATTAACTAATGAATTGTTGTCACTGATAGTGATATCTATATTTTTCAGTTAATTAAAATCATATATGCTAACAACAAAATCAGATGTATGATGCTTGAAGTATATAGGATTTTCCCTTTAATTACTATATTAACAAACTATTTTTCTTTCAGTTTATTAAATCCTATATGTTAACAACAGGTTCAATCAAACACATGACATGAAACATAACTCTTCCTTTTGAAACTAAACAAAGTGCAATTCACGCGGAATCAATTTTACGTCAGTAATTATTAACACACACAGAGGAATGAAAGTAGAAGTAAAGGGCAGAAAGTCAAGCAACGAGGAACAATAATACATCCCATAATGGAATAAAAACTGTATAATATTAAAAGAGTTATATCCATTTTTGTTGGTAGTTAAATGTTCAAGGTTGGTACTTACCTGCCCTTCAACGGTAATTGTAAGAATGGAACGAAATCGATTATACGAGGAATACGTGGGTCACCGAGTTGCTTGATCAAATTGAATTGAAATCTGTTGTCTCCTGTTCTTTTTAAAACGTTTAAAACGCACCAGTGAGCAGATACGTGATTCCATTTGGACATGTTTACTGCGTCCAGTACGAGGGTTATTTGGGCGTTAAATAATGTCTGCCTGAAGTAACAATATCACACTGACCATGTCTGATACATTGCACAGGTTTTTTAAAGTCTTATATATGATCGTTAATTTGTTGATATTCATTTGCCAATGAATCAATATATGTTCAAATATAAAATAAATTTATGATGTAAGTTTCTGTTTATGGATGATGTTATAGTTGTAAATGATGCCGCTCATCAAACGTATCACATTACGTACATTGGTCATTAATAAAATGTGGTAAAATTATTAATTTTTAATCTCACTTGATTAATATGTAACAGTATGACTTCCGGACATGTCTTTTGCGTTGGCTATGTATCTAACAGTCATTCTCATGAATGGCAATGTATTTTTGAAATGTTCTTATCAACAGACATTTACAGGTGTATATTTTTGTCAAAAGTAGAATTATATCTCTCAAATATCTTATATGATTCTTTTCCTAATACAAAGTATTCGTAGAAAAAATGAACTCGACTATCAATTTGAAGTTTAGATATATCTACAGATGACGCCTGGTTGTTTCTACAGTATTGTGTTATATTCCACTATTATACACGGACCAGTGAACAGCGTGATTACAATGATACAGTGACGGTAGGTGGCAACGTCCAAAACAAAATATTTTGACATACAACAAGACTATGCCTACGACAGTTATTCTGCCTGGAGATTAGGCGTTCAAAACTTTATCCTTTTCAATACACATTATTACATTCCATGTATACAAAAAGAACTAGGCTTGCTTGATACCGAATGAAACCCTAACATATGATGAAATATTTCCAAAGAAGAAATCTTGGCTTATCATGCTTCAGTATTCAATCATTTAGATTGCCGATTATTGATACGTGTAATGTAGGACAAGCGGTCGAGTAGGGTGTTTGGGATTGAAGACAACAAACGGTTTTACATGAAACGATTTACTACATAAATTATGTACAGATACATATAAATTTCACATTAAGACACATTCACACTCATTCCAACACAAAAGTTCAAAGTTCATAGTTCGTTATCCACACGACACGACAGTCACAAGTTTCCCACACGACAAACATCACTAAGGTCAACACCAGAACCGCAATCCAGGCACACGGACAAGCGTTCCGCAAGAATGTCCGGTACAGCAATATCAACATATCAACAATATATTTCATACATACCATAACATATTCGTACACGACAATAAACATCTAAACACGAAAAACAACATATGAAAAAACATATTGAGTACATGCGAGCGTGAAAACATCCCCGGGTTCCGGAAAAAAAATCACGGAGCATGAAGTCACTATATCCTGCTCAAGTAATCCGCTCCCACATTATCCACACCTTTGACGGCACGAACTTTGAACCAATATGGCTGGAGTAGTAGTGCCCACCTCATAAGTCTCGCATTGGCTGCCATAGACTTGTCCTGGTAGGACAATGGCTGGTGATCAGTCCCGAGGAGAAATTCTCATCCGTAAATGTACGATTCGAACTTCTGTATTCCCTATACAATCCCAAGACACTCCTTCTCAATGACTGCGTAGTTCTGTTCTCGGGGAAGAAGTTTCCGGCTGGTGTACGCAATTGGCCACTTCTGACCGTCTTCCTCCTGTAATAATATGGCTCCAAACCCGGTGTCGGGCGCATCAGTTCTCAAGATAAAGTCCTGCTGCAAATCTGGCAGTTTCAAAACTGGTTTTTGTTGTAAGCACGCTCATGACTGTCCAGCCATTCTTATTTGTTTGGTGAACCCTTCTTTGTAAGGTCTGTAAGCGGCACTGCAATAGCGGCAAAGTTGGGGATGAACCGGCGATAGAAACCTGTCAACCCAAGGAATGAACGGACTTGTTTCTTTGTCTCCGGTCTTTGGGCGATTGCCTCTACTTTGTCGTCCTCCATTGAAGTCTCCTCGCTCCCACAATGCGTCCCAAACACGAAAGACTTCCAAATCAATAGAACACTTGGTCGGTCTCGCTGTAAGTCCAGCGTTCGTCAAACGTGACAATAGCTCGCTCAAAACTTCCAGGTGTTCCCCCTAGGTATCCGTGCATATGATGATATCATCAATGAAGTCGTCTAGATGTTCCATTCCACGAAGAAGTTTCCTCATTAAACGACTAAATGTTGCCGGGCGTTGACGAGTCCAAAGGGCATCACACGGAACTGGAATAACCCTTGGGGTGTCGTGAAAGCCGTCCTTTTCTTCGCTTCATCGGCCAGCGGAACTTGCCAATAAGCTTTACTGAGGTCCAATTTCGAGAAGTATTTGGCGTTCCCAAGACGCGCAAAAATGTCCTCTGTGTTAGGCATTGGTTCCGCATCAAATATGTTGACACGATTGAGTCCCTGAAAATCGATACAGAACCTGTTCGATCCGTCCTTCTTCTTTACCATCACTACTGGTGATGAATAAGGTGAAGTTGAAGGCTCTATGACATTCATTACTAGCATCTTTCCAACTCTTTTCAACTTTTCGTTGATGACCTCCTTTGTAGTGTAGGATAAACGATAGGATTTCGCCCGTACTGGATCCGATGTAGTGGTATGGATCTCATGCTCAATCAGGTTGGTGATCCCTGGAACATCTGTCAGTACGGCCTCAAACTTCTCCATGAGGCTTCGCACATCTCTTCCTTGATCCTCTGTGATATCCTGACACACGCCAACATCATCAAGAGTTTCCTTCCCCCTATCACCTGGTAAAGCTTCCAAGTTCCTGTTAATATCACAGCCATCTCCCTGGTCACTATCGTCCACAGCTGTCATCACGCAAGCTAACAATCCCCCTAAGTCACTTCCTTGATCTGGTTCCACGTACTTCCTCAACAAATTTATATGAAGAACCGTTACCTTGCCATCTCGGTTGACTCTGTAATCGGTAGGTTCCACCTTCCCAACAACATCATACAGTCCACTCCACTGAAGTAGTAACTTGTTTGCCTTGGTCGGTAGTAGTACCAGCACCTTAACTCCTGATTTTAAATCTCGTTGCCTAGCCCGTTTGTTGAACTGCTTCCTCTGTCATGTCTTCGCCTCTCGAAGATTGTCCATAGCAATCTCACAGGTCTTCTCCAGCTTCTCCCGTAAATCCATGACGAACTGGTATGTCGTCCTAAAGTCATCATTTGGGAAGTCCACAGCTCTCGTAGGATCATCATAGGTCCCCGAACTGTTCGCCCATATAACATCTCAAATTGGCAAAACCCAAGGCTTCCCTGAGGCACCTCTCTGTATGAAAACAGCATGCGTTGATGAAACGATCCCAGTCCTTCGGTCTCTCAGTACTCATGTGCCTAAACATCAGCTTTAACGTGCCATTGAACCTCTCGACCAACCCATTGCACATTGGGTGATAAGGCGTAGTCGTTGTTTGATGGATAGAAGTCTGCTCACCTCCTATAGCAACTCTGAAGTAAATTGGGCACCCTGGTCCGTTAACATCTCAGATGGTACACCTACTCGACTAAAGCCTCTGCCACACGTTCTGTCTCGATTCCGCGTAGAGCGACTGCTTCAGGATATCGACGACTGCGAGGAGATAACGGTTGCCTCTCTCAGTGACGGGTTCCAAGGGTCCTACAATGTCGCTTGAACTTTAACTTGTACATTTTAAAAATAATTTAAAATGTAATAAAGACTTAGAAAAGCTTTAATGCTTTAAACGTAAGCGAACAGTAAAAATGAAGACTACTCGGGCAATGTGCAGAAATTCATGAATTTTAACGAGCTTGAGCTCACTGAAATTATAGTTATACAATAGCAATCAAACACTGAATCCGCTAAAAGTAGATACTGTATGTTCTCCAGGCATACGTTCAGGTTCGGTAAATGCTCTCATGCTAAACTTAACCAAATTCCCTATGTAAACAATAGTGATAAGGTATCTACATCAGCAAATTGCTTGATTAAACTATCGAAACAAAATCTTCTGTCGCCAACCTTTTACCCAAAACCTTACAAACGCACTCGTAATCGGCTGGTAGCGTGTGTAGGTGCTTGTGTACTAGATCCGAAACAAGGGTCATTTGACCATGAAATTGGTCATGTCAGTATTTGTGATGGGCGGATGGTCAGTAAGTTCGATTGTCACTACATTTTAATAGTTCTATACGAGGAATACGTGGGTCACCGAGTTGCTTGATCAAATTGAATTGAAATCTGTTGTCTCTTGTTCCTTTTTCAAACATTTAAAAGCACCAGTGAGCAAATACGCAATACTTCTTGGACATGTTTACTGCGTCCAATACGAGGGTTATTTGGGCGTTAAATAATGTCTGCCTGAAGTGAAAAAACTGACCATGTCTGATAAGATACATTGTACAGGTTATTTAAAGCCTTATATATGATCGTTGGTTTGTTGATATTTGCCAGTGAATCAATGTATGTTCAAATATAAAAAGTGAAAGAACGCATTTGTTCACTTGACATTAGAGCTTTAATTTCCAAGAATGATGAAGGACGGTACAAATATATGGGTGTGACCATACTGAAGCGTTATGGTAAAAAAGACAAAAAACGGGGGAAAAAAACAAAAAATAAAAACCCAATTAAGTCCGAATCAAAAAAAGAAATATACATAGGACAAATTCATAAAAACAAAATAAAAAAATTAATCGAGTTTCTGGTTGGCAACATACTATTGGCATATCTATGGAATCTAACTGTGCACGACTGTTGGCAAACTTTTTATTTTCAAACCAGGCTGAATTATTGTTGGCTGACTTGTTTTTTTTCATACGAGGATAAAATCATCAAAGAGTACACGACAGACTATTCTCCACCAATGAAACAACACGGACAGTTTTCGGCATAGTGATCTCCTGGAGATATATTTCATTTCTTTATGCACTATGATGCTGAACGCGTTTGATGCTCTTTAAGTTTCTTGTTGGTTCCGTGTCGTATACTTTATTCTCAGTTAAGAACATGACATTACCTACTTGGATTGAAGAGTCTGTCGTGTCTTTGATTTCCAATTCTATTTGGAATGTACGATAGTCGTGATCAATAAATGTCTTGTTATCTAAACAAAATGCCGTATAGCAAGTTATTTTCGCGAGGATGATATTTTTGCGATTTTGCGGGTCATTTTTGTGATCGCGAAAACCTTATCTTTGTCCGCGATATAAAACGTTGACACTCTGTCAGCACCTCTCATTCATATCTTAACAATTTAAAACGTGTGAAACAAAGAACCATGTATATGATACATTCATATGGTTTATCATGTGTATAAACAGAATACTTACGTTATTTAAAATACATCGTTATTATATCTTACGATGTTCGTAAACTAACCGGAAACAAAAAACCTGCTATTGAGTGGAGAGAAGATCCGAAACGAATGAATGATTTCTACAATCGATTTCTGCTGGTAAGTTGGAAATATGAGATCAGTTCACAGGTGGATAAAGATTAATCAATAAAATAAGCATAGGTCAGTGTAAACAAACACGTGGAAACACGTACGTACAAAGCTCGTGATTTCCAGTTATAGCCACCTCGCGAAATTTTAATTTGTGAAAAGTTAACTTGCTTGATTTATGTGAGAATCGCCAAAAATTATACCCGCGAAAATTTCCGGCTAAATGGTACGTAATTAAACGACTTTGCAAGGTTTTTGTGACCTGTTTTATTAAACTCTTCGATAAATTCGCCGAAAAAAACAAAACAAGCCAACCAACATAGAGGCACAGTTAGTTCCCATAGGTATGCCAGTAGCCTTTTGGAAGATCCATAGATACAGACTTAGATGTTGTCAATAAGAATCTCGATCAAGATTTCGTCTTTCGTATAATTCGACTTTGATTTGAACGCATTTTTCACGAAAAATGCTGAAGTATAGTTCACAATCGTATAGTTGTACCGCCGACCACGTTTTTCCGAAAAGGGAGCACTAATGACAAGGGAGCGAAGGCGTTCTTTTAGCTGAGAATGGTGGATAAGACACGAGACACGATGTATTAGATATTCTGTGACTTCTACTACTTTTTAGTCAATCTGATGTTATCGGTTTGTAAACGTATATTCCCGTAAATATACATGTGTTAGGAAATACTTTGCTAATGAATAAATAAATATTAGTTATAATTATCATTCCGTTTTGTTTGTTGCTGTAACAGTAGTTATCAATATTTTACCGTGACGGTATCTTAATTGAACCTGTGTGACTGATAATGTGACGATTTGCACGGTTCAGCGAAACTGGTCAATAGAAAGCTTTCTAGATGATATCGTTTTATCACTGTAAAGTAAGCTTTACTGACTAAATGGAAGTACATCCCAAGTCAATTTCCAAAAGACCTAGATCTTACCTTAGATAATGGTTGTTATTGCCACTAGCCAAGAAAGTATCGGAGTCGGAATACTAGAACTGCGTCAATAATCATAAGTATTTTTCTGGTAATTATTTTCTTTACCTGACAACATATTGACACATGTCTATGTCGTTTAGGCGTAATACCTTCTACGTAACATCATGACCTTTCGTAACATCAGTAGGGAAAAGGGCAGGAATATATCGACATGTCCTCTAGACCTAATATCAGATGTAAAATCGATGAAATGAGGGTAAAGTGTGACCAAAAGAAACATTTACATGGAGAACTTGAATATTAACAAGGAAAATAAGATCCTGTGTAAGTGTCTTCTTCATTGCCAATATCTGCCTTGTCAATCCGAGCAAGTAATATCAGGTTCTAGAATCTCAAATGAGAACAGCAACCTTACACCTGGTCTTATTTTTCTCGCACTTTTCAGGAGTCTCCGTGTAAATATATCTATAAATTTGCATTGCACGTAAACAAGTTTGAACTGCTCCGTATTCCATTGCCGCTCACGTGTATGTATGTGTACCCATTCACTCACTGGGCTACTCCATGTCACCGCGTGTGCAGGTA